TCTTTTTCCAATATATAGTTTGTTTTACAACTGCATGCATTATCCCTACACATTTTCTTCCCTATATATGTTCCATTCGAGTGACTAGTTTTCATGCGTTCAAAGCAGCCCCCAACAATTATATATGCATGTTAGTAGTAATAATTAAGCAGGCCCATGATCATCAAATACTAGTAATGAATATATATCCAGCGGCAGGAATATTCACAGCGGGACATCGATCGATCTGTCAAATCAAAGCTTGTTGGTGTGGTAGGGTGGTTGCAAGCAAGCAAGCAAAGCAGACTACTACTCCTATATTACTATTTACTCATATACACTCCATGCATGTGTATGCACTTAATTATGCAGGCATTCAACGCATTATTAGTGGCTTCATGACTACTCCAGGTTTGCAGGATTTGGTGAGGAAAATGGGTGGCCATCACTGCAGCGGGGTGCCACTGCTGCTGCCACGGCTACTATTGATGATATATACTCCATTAGTTCCATTTTAAGTGTTGTTATAATTAAGTTTTTTTTTCTAATTTTAATCGTTCGGCTTATTTAATTTCTTTTTTAAAAAAATAAAAACATAAGTCACGTATAAAGTAAAATTTATGTTTTATCATGTAATAACAATAAAAATATCAATCTAAAAAATTTCAAATAAAACGGACGATCAAAGTTGAACATGGAAACTCATGACTACGCTTAAAATGAGACGGATGGAGTATATCAAGCGGCTCTGTTCTTTTCTCAAACAAAAACTGGATAAACTTTTAGATAAAAGTGGCATGTTTTTTAAACTGCTAAACGGTGTGTTTCGTGCGAAAACTTTCTATATGAAAGTTATTCTAAAATATAAGATTAATCCATTTTTCAAGTTTATAATAATTAAAACTCAATTAATCACATATTATTACCATCTTATTTTGTATAAACACTTAGTTTTTATCTTTATCTTCGTCTTGGAAGATTCAAACACTATTGTATATAATCAATTAGCTACAGGATATATCAATCATTGATATGTGACTAGCTAGTTAATTGTGCCAACCAGCTGCATTCATGCTTAATACTCCCTCCGTCCCATAATATAATATAAGGGATTTTGACTTTTTTCTTACTGTTTAACCACTCATCTTATTAAAAAAATTAGAATTATTATTTATTTTATTTGTTACTTACTTTATTATCCAAGTTACTTTAAGCATAATTTTTCTTTTTTATATTTACACAGGCTTTTAAATAAGACGAGTGATCAAACAGTGTGAGAGAAAAAAAAGTTAAAATCTCTTATAATTACATAGGAGTAATATGGCTCGATTAATTACGCGTGCTGAGACATCTAGGTAGGTGACGCATATATGTACGCCGGCCCGCGACGTTGGGAGCGGCGGCGGTTAGCCGTCGTTAACGTTCTCGTGTTGGTGGCCGGCCGGCCGGCCCCGTCGTCGATCGGGGGGCCGCTCGCTCGCTCGGCTTGCACCAACGTAACGTACGGCCTCGTCATATTGCTCAAGACGCGTACTACGTTGTTGGGACAGGCTCACAGGCAGGTGGATCTTTAATTATCTCTCCGTTCCAAAATAAACGCAGCCATGAGTTTTCGTTTACAACTTTAATCGTTCGTTTTATTTATTTCTTTTCTAAAGAAAAAACATAAATCACACATAAAGTACTATTCATGTTTTATAATCTAATAATAATAAAAATACTAATCATAAAAATTTTTTAAATAAGACGCGCGATAAAAATCAGACATAGAAATTCATGGCTGCGTTTATTTTAGGACGGAGGGAGTCATCGATAACTCCTCTCATTTTGTTGTGACGTATCGAGCACGACATGTCTCAAATAACTTCATCTCTAACGAGTTATAAAATGACATATTTAAAATACTACAGCATGAAAAGATCTACAATAATTATCATAAGGCTCATCTCAGCTGTGACATGTATATATAGTTTTCAACCAGCAACCAAGCGGTTAGACTAGGCTTCTTTCCAAGGCAACAACCTAATAATTTTGCTATATATTTGTTGATAAATTTTCTCTCAAAAATTGACATATGCAAATGTAGTACAATTGTTGTGTAATTACACTGTAACTTGTGTGTAACTTTCATATAATTTTGAATCGTTCGATTTGCTTTAACTTTCATACAAGCGAGGAAGGAAAAAATCACTACGGCGGCGCATATGTGAGGGGATTTGGTTCCATGACCACCATTTTAAAGGAATAGCATGTTAATGAGGGATTTTTTAAGTTACATGTAAATTACAATATAATTATATCATGATTATACTATACTTATATCTGTCAATTTTTTTTAAGAAGAGTTGTCGACAAATATATAGGTAGTCCCACAACCTAACTGGACAACTATTTTAGATGGTGTTTCAAAATGTTATACAAATTTTCATCACTTGGCCAAGAATTAATTATATCAATTAGATGTTTTATCACTCGCTAAAAAAATGTTGCAACCAGCTAATACAATATTTAAAAATACTGACCTGCAACATCAATAAACCAATAGGTAAAGCATAAAAAAAAAACTAGCTGCAACATCAAGAATAAAAAAAAATTGTCAATGAGCAACTCCAGGACAACTGAGGGTGTGGTACACGCCTTTAATGCAACTGTGCGCATCATCTGCTAGTATACATATAGCGGAACAGAGAACACCACTCAAATTAATACTTATGAGAAAAATGCAATAAATCGTTAAACTCTAACAAGAGCCTATAGTGACTTTTTTCTCTACTCCAATGTGACCAGATCCACCTTATTTCTCTACAACCTCCTTGAGCGTGGATCTTAGACGTCTAGTTCTACGACGCCGTCGCCGACCTGCTACGCGTCGCCACACCTGTTTGAGCTTGTACTTGGGATTGTTCTTCTCGGTGACGGTTCTGCATGCATCGATGTTGGCTTTGCTCTTCTCCTTAAGGGCCTTGTGGATAGGGCCGGCATGCGCGGAGGAAGATATGTTTGATATGGTGGCGACAACACAGGCAGATCTAGGGAAAAAAAGTAAAAAATATAACTTTTGGGAAAATTTTTTTTGCTCTAACCCAATGTATATATATACATATATGATTTTTTTTGGAAAAGTAAAAAAACTTCCTTGTTAATATATTATAATGCACATCTAATCAATTTATTATATACTCCAAACTTTGTTATATTTAGGGTACTTTAGAAAAATATATAGGTTGGACTAGCCACATAAAAATTCTAAAATTCTAGATACACCACTGGGCGACTGTGACAGCATGGGCAGCCCAACTTCTCTTGGTTGGGCCATGTCAGGATGAAAGCCGGTGTAATGGTAGGTCTGTGGGCGGGCACGGTGAGAGTGTGAGAGAGAAAGAGATGGGAACATGAAGGAGGGAGGAGACAAAGGAGTAGAAGGCGTCCAATATCTGGGCTCGTTTTGAACGCCCATCCACAAGCATTTTCTAACCAAATATGCCCGCGATCGATCATTAGGGATACATTGTCAATAATTTTAAGCACATGCCTAAACTCACTGGTAAACAAACAATAAGGGATAACCATAAAATTCTCAAATACTCGTACGTTATCTATCGTTACACTTGTCAGGGCTAATTTCCGATTTCCATCAATTATTGCAGAACATGCATGGATAGATCGGCAGCAGAGGCCAGCAATGCAGCACTAGCAACAAAGCATAGATATTACTGCATAGTAAGCCCACTAACAGGCCCGTTAGGCCCAAGACCCTACTAACCAACCAAAAGGTTCAAATAATCTAACCTCAAATGTTCCAATCTAGATTTCAAAGATTTAAAAATAACAAAACGACGGTGTGAAGGATGAAGTAACATAAAGAAAAAGCTAGTAATGTGGAATGACCTGTGTGAATATCTGAAATTTACTTTATTATCGTGAAAAAAGACATCGAAGAAATAGTTCCCGTAGATTGATCAAATTATTTTGTTATGACTCATTGGCTGCCAAAGAGATGGTAATATAGGCCCTGTTTATGATAGCTCGAGATTTTAAGAAACAACCTACAAGAATATGACAAACATAAATTTCCTAGCTGTTGACTTGAAGTCTATTTTTTAAATTCGGTAGCAACTTACGGTTAGAATCTAGATACAATTTTAAATTGTTTGGAGGACCTAGAGATTTAGGAGAAAGTGGAGTTGCTAGAAGCTCTCTAAACATGAACATAATTATAATAGATAAATGTAAAAATACTTATATAATAGAGTTTACGTGCGTCTTATGTGTAATTAAGAAAAAAAAACTTGACACGAGTGTTCGTATTTACACCTAATTAGTCTTTTAGTGATAGGCGAAGTATCCGTCAACAGCAAGGCGCCCATGGTAATTTCATCAATATCATGATATGCCGGTTCAGCTTTTCGAATGTGCCTATAAGAGTATGATATACGTGTGTGTTGTGAGCGCCTGCATTTTTGTAACTTGTTACTATGAAAAAAATACTTATGGAAAATTTGCAAGGGCAACCAGAAGGATGATTAGGCATAGTTCCGGATTCAAGATTTTTTTGAGCTAAAATATTCCTAACTCCACAAATCCACGGATTTATATCCATAATTACGTTGATAGATTTTGAATATATCATTTTGTTCTCATTTTGGATAAAACTTAAAATTTTGAACCATTATAATTTAACATATAAATTTCAAATCGATTATGAATGGATATGATATTTATGGCCTGTTTAAGAAGCTTAAAATTCTGAAAAGCAGCTAGTAGATAATAAACTTCTAAGAATCTAGTAAAACTGGGTTTCTCAGCTTCTGGCTTCTAGTTCATTTTCTGGATTCTATAACTACATCTTCAAAGAATCTGGACAAAAACTAAATTTGTTTAGGGAACTTCTGATTCTGGGAGAATCTGTAGCGGCATAGCCGTGCCAAACCGGGCCTACATGTACATGGAGATGAGTTAGATCTGGAGCAAATGACGAAAATGCCCCTCACCCCCGTTGCCCTGCTGCTCCCCCCCGTAATCCATCCGGGAGCTCCGTCCCTCGCTTCGGCATGAGGCCTCCGCCCTTAAACCCCTGAGAAGAGAGGAGGAGGAAGCCATGCCGCAACTGCCCTCCCCTCTCCGCCGCCTCCTCCCGCTCTCCCAAACCCTAGCCGCCGCCACCCCGGCCCCGCTCCTCCACCTCTCCCGCCGCCTCTTCTCCTCCTCCTCCTCCCCCTCCCCCTCCCCCTCCCCTCGCGCCGCGTGCCTCCGCGCCCTCGCCTACCGCGGCGGCCAGGCAGGAGGAGGAGGTCGCCGCGGCCACCACAACAACCTCCTCCGACGCGGGAACAGCACGCTCGGGAAGAGGAGCAAGGAGAAGATGGGCGGCGGAGGAGGGGGAGGGGGAGGGGGAGGGGAGGCGGAGGTGGCGTTCAACAAGACGCGCGCGGAGGGGAAGGACGGGAGGAAGGGCAGGAGCATGGAGCTCAAGAGCCGCAAGCTCAACCCCATCAACACCATCTGCTACGTACAGGTGAGGGATTTTGCCGATTTCTCCCCCCACACCACGCCACATTCCCGATGGTCTCGTTATTAAGCCGCTCTGCTTTGCGCCTAGCTTTCAGTTCAGCTCGATTAAAGCGGGGATTGCCTGCTTTTTTTATGCTACATACATTTTGTTTCCTAAGACGCGAACGATGTCGAGCAACAAAATGATAATATGATTATATATATATGCCTTTTAGCACAAGGTTAGTACCTGCTACAATCCTTTGATGGCGATTGTGCATGTTGGTTTACTTCATGACTTAGCAAGCACATTTAATTCCTGGGCTTACTTGGGATACAAAACATGCCCCATTGGAGTATGGCGCGATATCTTTTGCCTTGGGTTTCAGCATGCCGGTTATAATTTTCTTTGCTTTGTAAGAATGTGCATGTGTCGCCTTTCTGCTGACCTAACTGTGGGCATAGGCTAAAATGTTATCCCAAATTGATTGCGATAGATGTCTTACTTAGGTTTAAAGGGGGTATAGCATCTGAACCAAACTTTAAACCATCGTTCGCTTATTACCTGCGTGCTAAGAAAATTATAAAATAATAAATTTTGTCACGATGCCAAAGTTCATCGGAGGATATACATATTAATGCCACCCGCTACCAAATTGGTAGAAATGATTCAGAACATCAATGCTCTGATGATAACGATGTTGATAATCACTTGTAGGGTGTATATTCTGGGTTTCCTTTACCTGTTGAAGACCAAAAATACTATGTTGTCAGGGTCTTGTGGATGCTGCAGTTGCTGGCTGGCAAAGCAAGCGATCAAATCGAGCTAGTTTAGTAAGAGTGAGAAAACTAGGTATAAGCACCCCTAGAGGCCTAGAATGCAATCATTCCAGCTGTTTTTGACTTTTTGTGTCACCCCCCTCAGAGATAGTTGTTCAGTTAATCAACCCCCTCACTTAGATCAACTCATGGGAACAGGGACAAATGCCTTTGCCAGTGATCTTACCCCTTCGTTCTTGGCTTCTTGCTGTGCAGATACTTGGTACAGGAATGGACACACAAGATACTTCACCTTCCATTTTACTCTTCTTTGACAAACAGAGGTTTATATTTAATGCTGGCGAGGTATCTGCAGCACTTGTATTTATTTGATCACTCTCTCTCTCTCTAAAACATACTTATGTTTTTAATTAATGTGCTTCTTAAGTGCACAAGTTGTTCCTAAACTCTAGTTGCCTTAGGGGCAAATTTGTAGCTCAGGTCTATTGAGTTCCGTTTGTCCTGCTTTTTTGTGTGTATTGCTCTGTATTTTATTTATCTAATTTTATCATCCTTAACCAGTTTGTCATGTCTTATTTTGGTGAACTTAATGTGCTAAATAACAACCTTGCTGTCTGATAGGGTCTTCAACGTTTCTGTACTGAACACAAGATAAAGTTATCAAAGGTATGAGGTCCTTCTCGCCAATGCATTGATCATATTTCTTTTATCCTTGTTTGATTGTGTTTGTAAACCAGCAACTTGCTTAAATGTTGATTCTCCACCTCCCAGATTGACCACATATTTTTGACTCGTGTATGCTCAGAAACTGCAGGGGGCCTTCCAGGTAAATTTGATCACTCTATGTACTGAACTACTGTCATTATTTGCTGAACTGTGATTATATCTATGACATAATTGTTTCTGTTCCTTCTTTTCATTTTTGCAGGACTGGTTCTGACTCTGGCAGGCATAGGAGAAGAGGGCATGTCGGTGAGATCACATGATTTCATCATTCCCTTCTTTTCAGTACCTAATTGCCAACTCATCCTGTTATACCTTTTCTGCATACTGATTGTATTGTTCCCTTTTATCTGCAACATAGGTGAATATATGGGGCCCTTCTGACCTAGATTTTTTAGCTAGTGCAATGAGATCCTTTATCCCAAATAGAGCAATGCTTCACACACATAGCTTTGGTGTGGAACAAAATGTATCTTCTTCCCAATCTAAAGATGCTACTGTCATTGTTGATGACGAAGTAGTTCGAATATCCGCAATGTTTGTCAAACCAAGATACAATAAAGAAGCCAGTTGCTTGAATGACTCCAACTTGAAGCCTGGCAATACTGCTATCATTTATGCATGTGAACTGCCAGAACTTAAAGGAAAGTTTGACCCTGCTAAGGCTGCTGCCCTTGGTCTCAAGCCTGGACCAAAATATCGTGAACTTCAGCTCGGGAACTCTGTGCAGTCTGATGCATTCGATAAAATGGTTAGTACTGAATACTGAGATATTTAAACTGTAATCTATTTGTAGGATTATAAATAATATTCTTTCATGTATTTGTTTACAATGTTTTTTTTCATTGATTCAAGCTTGAGCCTATGCCACCAGGTAGATCAGTGCTGCCCGTTGGGAACCTAACTTTTTCTTTTGGAGGCTGTTGAGTCCGCTGTTCAGTGATTCATCTGTGGATGGGGTGGCACTATATATTTTCATGAATAGATTGCTGATGTAATATTTTATTAGTCTTTAAAGATGTTAAATACTAAATTAAATTTTATTAGTCTTTAAAGTTGTTAAATACTAAATTAAGCAGTGCCGCTTGACTATCTTCTGTCCTTTCCTTGATAACATAATTTAATTTTTTTTTCTGTAATTTAAGCTTTTGATATTACTTCAGATATAAATTGCACGCACAAGATAACTGGATGAAAATTTCTTGTGTACAGCTCATTTAGTTTGCCAATTTCTAGGTTCATCCAAGTGATGTTCTTGGCCCGTCGATTCCTGGACCTACTGTACTTTTGGTGGATTGCCCTACAAAATATCATATGCACGAACTATTTTCCCTGCAATCTCTTATACGCTTTTATGAAGATTCTTCTGAGCAAGCAGGGAGTCCCAAGAAAGTAAATTGTGTAATCCACTTGGGCCCATCTTCTGTGACTGAAGCTCTCGATTATCAGAACTGGATGAGAAAATTTGGTGCCACACAGCATATCATGGCAGGGCATGAAATGTAAGATTCAGTTCTGTTCACTGTTTTATGTATGCTTTTCATGCAGCCCCAATTATTGGCTTTTCTAGTTTGAACTTAGGTTAAAACTATTGTTGTTAGTAAATCTGAAGTTAGCTTTTTTTTACAAAAGAAGTGAGAAGTTCCATATTGTAGAAATGTTTAACTTGGTGGAATTTATCTGTAACTTCCAGGAATGAATTTATACGTCGTGATTGCATATTGTGAAGTTTTACTTTGTCACTGTATTATCTTCGTCAGTTCCTAATTGATAATTAGTGAAGTTTTGCTTGATTTTGCTACGGAACATTGTAACTTGTAAGGTACTTCTTGATAATATTCCACCTCGGTAAAACACCATTTTATTAATTTTATTATTGTATAATATCTGTTTTAGGATTTTGGAACCCTCAGTTATCACCATAGGTTAATTTTTCAACCTAAATGCTTAAATCATTCACTTAACATTGTCTAACTTTTTAAATCTGGCTTAAATCCAATCCATGTGATGATATTTGTGGTGTTTTTGCCACGTGTGCTCACTTTTATGCTGTTTTAGCGTTCTCATGTACAGTTGTTGCTACCAACTGGGCACATGGATTGCTGACACATGGATGAGTGAACACAAGTGTGGTGCATCTGCATATAGTAGGATCTGCGCGGCAGAAACCACTACAAATACTGCCATCTTGTTTGTAATGATCCAGTTCTAATATTTGGTCATGTGATGGGACTTTTTCCTCCTATGTGCAGTAAAAACATGGAAATTCCTATCCTGAAGGGTAGTGCAAGGATATCATCACGTCTTCATTTTGTATGCCCTCATCTCTTCCCATCCTCTGGATTTTGGCCTGTGGAACCTATAAATGATGTTGATTCAGAGAAGAATAAGGTAGCTTCCAGTAAGATACATAATACCAGATAATATAAAAATGCATTCTGCTTATATACATGAAATTTTCTTACCACTTTTAGGTTTCTTCATTGCAAGCCTGTGAAAGTGTGTCAGCGGCTAATCTTCTAAAGGTATGGCTAACTCTATAACCATACTGTATTTCCCTGTTAGCACTTATCACACGAGCGTTTCTGTTAATCTATCTGGTATTTGTATGTCTGGACTTTGTGATGAAAATGGTTTCAAATATGGATGTGAAAATTCAACTAATAGTTTATGTCTCGAAACTTAACGTGTCAACCTACCACACTATACCAATCTTTTTAAAGCAGCATGACTAGGATTTTCCCTTCTATGCAATGCAATTGTAAAATAACCTGCTGTGACGAATGTCTTGGTCATTATTTATTGATGATCTTTGCACAGACAGTTACTTTTTGCCCTACGTTAGTTCTGGTCTTGCTTATATTCTCTGAGCATGGGCTTGAATATATGCACCTTGCAATTATTTTCCACGCCATGCTATGGCACACAATTACAATCTAGAAGCTGAGAAGGAGAAATTCTTCTCATGAAAGATACTACATAAAAATGAAGCTGACAGGAGGAAGGAGAGATAAATAAATCATAAGAATTTTGCATCATCTATGTGACCAGTTGCTGGTTAAACTTTCTTTAGTTCAGTGCAATGCCGTTTATTACATTAGTGGGTTCTCCTTTTCAGTTTCATCTGCGTCCATATGCTCAACTGGGGCTGGACAGATCGTCTATACCAAGCCTTACTACTTATGGAGATATTGTAGATGAGCTCTTGTCGGAGATCCCAGAGATTAAAGAAGTTCCTGAACAGATTAGCAAGTTCTGGCAAAGTAATTCAGTTGGCAAGCATATGCTCATGGTTGAAGAGCCATGGATTACTGAGAATTCCTCTGTTTGTAATTTTGTAGACGAAAATAGTAATTCAGGTAAGTTACAAGATGGCACTCCATTGAGAGCAAGTGGCTGGAGAAAGCACCCAAAGGACACTCCTGATATCCCTTGCTGTGTGGAGAATGCAACAAGAGAAGATATGGAAATTACCTTTTTGGGTACGGGTTCATCCCAACCTTCAAAATATCGGAACGTAAGTTCCATATATATTAACCTGTTTACACAAGGAGGTATACTTCTTGATTGCGGTGAAGGAACCTTAGGGCAATTGAAAAGAAGGTTAGTTCTTACATACTTCTTTAGGTAATTGAGAAATGCATGTTATTTCATATTTGTCGTCATGACACTTTCTCTTTATAGGTTTGGTGTAAGTGGTGCTGATGATGCTGTGAAAAGTTTGAAGTGTATTTGGATTTCCCATATTCATGCTGATCACCACACAGGTGTAGCTAGAGTTCTTGCTTTGAGGTCTAAATTGTTAAAAGGGGTACCTCACAAGCCCTTACTTGTTATTGGACCAAGACCACTTGAAAGATTTCTAAATGCATATTCAACACTCGAAGATCTTGATATGCAGTTCCTAGACTGCAGGCAGACTTTAAAGCCTAGTATAGAGGCTTTTCTCAGTGACAATGCTACTGAATCTGCCACATCTCAACTTGGAAGCACTATATTTGCTCCTGGAAGTAAAATGGAGAACTACAGCCGGAAGCCTGCAAGTCCAAGAGATACTACAGCTCTAACTAATTTGAAAGATGTCCTACATGAATCAGGTTTGGAAGTTCTTTACAGTGTCCCAGTTCTGCACTGTCCACAGGCGTTTGGAGTTGTTCTGAGAGCCAAGGAGAAGGTGAGCAGTGCTGGAAAAGCTATTCCAGGATGGAAGGTTGTTTATTCAGGTGACACGAGGCCCTGCCCAGCTCTTGTAGATGCGTCCAGAGATGCCACTGTACTAATACATGAGGTAAGATGAACATAAATCTTTTGGACAACTAATTCCATTATTACCAACTTGATATCCACTGCCATTTCCATGGTGGCTATGATTCTATATTCCTCCCTTTTGAGTGCTTGCCATCACTGCTTATGCTCCAAGGTGGTTTCCAAAAGTTCAATATATTATTTGAGTTATCAGTTCTGTTTTTTCTGTCTGTCCTAGTGTCCTGTAGTAAAATATTTCACTCTCCAATTGATGTGGACGACAACTGGCCAAGTGCATCACCAACTAACCTTGCATGTTTTTGTATACTGTTAGCTGCAGAATGTTCTCTTCTAATTATTGATGATATTAATCACTAGTTAATGGCAATAATGGTATTGCGTGTCTAAACTGTGCAATACTCGTTTCTCCAGGCAACATTTGAGGACAGTATGAAGGATGAGGCGATCGCTAGGAACCATAGTACAACAAAGGAGGCCATAGCAGTAGGCACATCAGCCGGAGCATACCGTATAATCTTGACCCACTTTAGCCAAAGATACCCTAAAATCCCAGTTTTTGATGAGGTTGATATGCAAAAGACTTGCATTGCGTTCGACCTGATGAGTGTGAATCTGGCGGACTTGCCAGTACTGCCAAAGGTTCTTCCTCACCTGAAGCTCTTGTTCAAAGATGAGATGGTGGTTGACGAATCTGATGAGATCCAGGAGGCTGTTATGTAGTACTGATATAAGATAGAATAGTGTACAACAATTTAAATAGAATGATTTTTGACCTGAGAATCCAATTGTAGACAGCGCCATCCATGCGATATGTTACTAGTGAGGCCAACCACCCTGCATTCAGATACTAGAATAGCTGTACTGTCAATTTTTGGCGTTGTCTTGTGCAATAAGCATTGTCGGCAATTTGCAAGTCTCGTGTGCGTTGAAAAGCAAGCGTGCGACCTGCCCTTCTAATTTAGTATTTTGATGGACAGTTAAGGCTTTGCCGTTACAGATGATGCGTTCAATTACGTGTCATGTTAATGTTAGTACTTGGGGTTTCAGTGTTTCACAGAGTGAGTCCCATTTCAGCCTCACATATGTTCCACGTTTCTCACTCATCAAGGCACCATCCAAACCCCAATTTTAAATTGAAGATACACTTTCAGTTTTAAATTCTTGAATTTGTTTGTTTAGTTAAAAATACTGGACTGAAGAAGTCTTTGATTTTAAAAGGTCCTTAAATTTCAACTTTAAAATCCCAGTGGCTTTGTCCCAGGCTTTAACTGGGTGTGCGATGAATTTCCATTTGCAGGAAACCGACAATCTTAGGAAATGGGATCCTCCACATTAGTTTACCCATTTGTGCACCATTTGCTCTGCGGTGACCATCTCGATCGCTACTGCAAAAATAGTATAACAACAAAATGTCACTGTTTGTGGCATCAATCTACTATGTTACTCACAACTATAATGAACCGCAGAGAGGATCCATATCAAGTGGTATGTAAGAGATTTAAAACTAGTAGAGGAGAGTATTGCAAAAGTACTCGCGACACTTGTCTCTATAAGCACGCCTATATAGATTGAGACAATATAAATTGAGGGGCTGTTGATGCCCATACAGATTGGTGAAATTATTGTCGATATCTCGTTGTTGATGCACATGACATCTAAACTAAAAAGAACAATTAGCAGTAAGTACAAAGCATTACCCGTAAATACAAACATTGGTATTAAGTCAAATACTCTAATTAACCATAAATATAAGCACTAACGTTATGTCGAGACTTTTTTTTAATGACTCGCACTAGATAGTGTGAAGTTCATAATGATAGAGTAGAAAAAAATTACAAGATTATAATCATGTAATGTCGTAACAAGGAAAACGAAAAAAGAATACCACCATCCACGTACCGATAACATCAACACATAGACATAAGAGAAAAGCTAGCACCGAACCGGCCATCGCTAATCGTGACCAGCCGCCGCTAGGCCAATAAAGGAACTACAATCAAGATCGCCCAAAACCCAACCATTACAACCGACATGAAACTTTGTTCTATCCACATCTTTGGGATCAAAAAAGTTACGTCGGAGACTTGAACCCATGATAGCAGGTTCTACCGAAATGATTTACAATTTTGGCCGTGTTTAGATCCAAAGTTTTTCTTCAAACTTCTAACTTTTCCATCACATCAAAACTTACATGCACAAACTTTCGGCTTTTCCGTCACATCGTTCCAATTTCAACCAGACTTTTATTTTTGACGTGAACTAAACATAATCTTTGAAAAGTTTGATTTTGAACACGGTGGCAGCAAAGTGACACGAAACTTTCCAGTGCGACTAGTAGCAGAATCTCGGGTTTTGCCGCATTACCCCTCTGAGCCTCAGCCTCACTCTTGGCCTCTCCCCTCCCCTCCCGTCGTCACGAAGGAAAGCGAAACGGTTATCGCGTTAACCACCCCGCCCTTCCCTTCCCCGACCTGACCCCGACCCGCCACTAGAAGCTTCCATCCACCCCGCCGCACGTGCCGCTCACCCGCGCCGCCCACCTCCCCTCCCCTCCCCTCCTCTCCTAGACCCGGTCCACCGCCGCCCCTCTCAGATCCGCCGTTGCCGCGGCGGCCTCGGCAGCTCGGTCTCCCCCCGCTAGGGTTTCGCCGTCTCCGATCGGAGGGGCGCAGCGATGGATCAGAGCAGGCGGGCGGTGGAGTCGTACTGGAGGTCGCGGATGGTGGACGGCGTCACGGCGGACGACGACAAGGTGGCCCCCGTCTACAAGCTCGAGGAGATCTGCGAGCTCCTCCGCGCCTCCGACGCCAGCGTCGTCAAGGAGGTCGCTGACTTCGTCCTCAAGCGACTCGACAACAAGAGCCCCGTCGTCAAGCAGAAGGTTCCCCTTCTCCTCCTCTCTCTCTCCCCTTGTGTGATCTCGGGTGCGAGGGTATTAGGTGGGTGGCGGCGAGGTGGATCGATCGATCGATCGATTGAGTACTTATGGATTGGTGTTCTTGTGTTCTCATTGATGATGATGATGATTAGTTCTGTGGCCACGGTTCTTGTCGAACTCTGGATGGTCGAAGGATGGCGCACGTATCCGGGGAGTGATTTGAGTGGGTGACTGATGATTTGTGTGATTGTTTTGAGTTCATGCCTGCCTCCTGGATTGCCGATCAGTTGAGGGGAGAAGAGGCTGTCGAAGATATAGTTCTGTTTTGGCCTTCTGGATGTGGGTTTAATAAGGGAAACGGCGAAAGTAGGGAATTGCAGTTGTTGAATGAAATAGTTATTGGTTGTGCGCCACAGCCCCTAGCATAAAAGAGCAGTGCCTTGGTGAAGGTGTAAGGGAGAAACTGGCTATATATTTTTGTTCTTCACTACTAGGTGGCAACAATATCTTGCTCACAGCTCACCTGGAGTTGATGGCCTGTTACCGTGGATTCAAATTAGCTAGAATGGATTCATGTGTCATAGTCCCTATCAATTGAAATTTAAAACTAGCCTACTGCTTCTTGAAGAGCTGAGAATATTCTCCACATCCAACTATCTGGCATGTAACTGTTCCATATCGACTGAGACCTTAGTGGCTTGTATGGTTGTTTTTGGTGAATGCTGTTTTATAGAGCAGAAGCCTTATGTGGCTAATGAACTACAACAATTGTTATAGCTATGGACCAATGGAAGGTGTTTTTTTGTAAACTATGGTGTCTACTTTTGATTTGGATTTAAGGGATGTTTTTTTTTTTTGGGGGGGGGGGGGTTTAATGCTGAACCAAACACATACATTTGAGGTTGTTTAGTGAACTTGAATGTGAATTCAGATTTCAACTTGTGACAACTAATTTTAATTTTATAAATGAATTGCTTTACATTCATGGCATGTTGCGTTCTGACTCCTGATCTCGTAATGGTAAAGCTCATACCAGCCTTCTGAGTAGACTCTCTGCGCAAAGGAAATGCTGCTTATGGGCATAATATTTGCTTTGCTAAGCATTTGTACTGAATGTTACACGTCAGTCCTGAGCAGTGGCACATTGCACCTTTTGCAAACATGGTGACCCCCACATATATCATAGAATGTACCCTAATGTTTTTGATGGAATTTTTAGGCTGTCCTAACTTATGTCTAACATTTAAGTACAGTGGTGTTTAATTATTGAGGAGACTAGCTTCTGTTCTTCAATTCTGTACTAACCTTTTCAATTGCTCTTTTCCAGGCTTTGCGGTTGATTAAATATGCTGTTGGGAAGTCTGGTACTGATTTCAAGCGGGAAATGCAACGGCACTCAGCAGCTATGCGCCAGCTTGTTCACTACAAGGGACACCCTGACCCCTTGAAAGGGGATTCTCTTAATAAGGCTGTCCGTGAAACTGCAAATGATGCCATTGCTGCTATTTTCTCCACAGAGGAACCTAAACCTGCTGTTGCAACAGAAGGTCTTGGCAAGCGCATACAGGGTTTTGGAAATACTAATTTTGAGCCATCAAGAGATGACAAAAAATCTTTCCTTAGTGAGCTAAGTGAAGTAGTGGGCATTGGCAGTGCTTCCATTAAACAGGGTTTGAGCAACTTTGCTGCTTCTCATTCATCAATGATAACAAATGATAATGGTGGTCCGTACAAGAGCCCAAACCTTCGTAGGTCTCTGACCACAGAAATGGATAAATATGGCAGGTATGATCCAAGTGAAATTCAAGGCGAGAGCCGTTCTTCATCTGGTGCTTCAAAGAATGTTAGTTCTGGTTCATGGGGTCCTAGTCCATCCAGTTCTGCACCAACTGATGATACTGGTTCAAGTCAAACAGGGGTTAAGACTCGTGAAGAGAGACTTTTAGATACAATTGCAACTTCAAGTGGTGTGCGGTTGCAACCAACTCGAGATGCTCTGCAAATATTTCTAACAGAAGCTGCCAAATTGGACGCAGTTGCTTTGAGCCGTGCCCTTGAGAACAAATTGAATTCTCCTTTATGGCAGGTGACTTTACGATGTTCTTTGTTCATCTACTTCAACCTTACAAGTTACAATAGTTTTACGGCTATGGGATGGGGTACCTTTAGTCTATATTATGGTTTACACTGCTTCTGGCAAGTGACTAGTGTATATTGATGCACAAATCGATATTTTTTCTTATTCCGCAGTCAAATGGAAGTACTTTGGATATCTAATATATAGATACTTTAAACATATGTTTGTTCAAATTTTGACAAGTGCTTATTGAGATTTCAAACTTCAAAAGTAAAAACACTATTTATGAGTTGACTTGTGACCATTCACATATACTTTTTTATGGTAAAAGTTCAGAGCTGTATATATAATAGTGAGTGGTATGTAAACATATTGATGCTTAACTTAGCTTCCAATTTTCAGGACAGCATAGTTTATTTGAATAATAAATTAATAACATGTGAAAAATACAGTTCCGGCATGAACTCTTTGCATGTTAAAAGTGCTTAGTTAAGGGCTTTTACACCCGCCTCCCTACTTTGCGGTTTAGGACATGTCTTAGCGTATTTAAAGATTTACCCAGTAGGCAGCATACTGGTTCTGAAAAAAATATTAGGCAGTGGGCAGCATATCCTTTTAACATGGTCAAAGGAATCAAAATGTTTTGCCTTGTTATACATTCCAATTATCAATGGAAGTCCACCTAGCATCTGAATTTTAAAACCAGGCATCTAACTTCTCAATACTTCCATAAAACCCCCTGAAGTGGTTTTGCATGGTGGTTTCACCTATAACCCCATGAACTTTCATTGGAATAAGGTTTATTTCTACTAGGGGTTAGCAATACGGAGTATGTTCAGAATTAGTGCATTCATTATCTATGATGTTCTCTGACCTTTTCTTATATTTTTGATACAATATTATCTCACATTATTTATATACATGATTAGATCATATTTATAATACCATTTTATCTTGACCAAGCACTTCCACCATTGTTTTCACTTTATATATTCATAAATATTCAATGCATTTGTTCTACTTCAGGTTCGCATGAAGGCAATTTGTGTATTGGAAGCAATTGTAAGGAAACAGGATACTGATCCTTATTCAATCATTACTTCATATTTCTGTGAGAACAGTGCATCTGTTGTTAGATGCTGTGAGCTTCCGCACGTTTCTCTCAGAGAAAAGGCTTCGAAGGTCAGTAAAGTTGCAAGCCATTAATAAATAAATTTGTATAATGCACCATTTATTTTCTGCAAATTGCTATGTAGAATACATGCTTTGCATCTCTTTGATTCTATCTCTCTCTAGGCTATAGCTATTTCCACCTCCAATTATTACTATATAATAAACCGTGCCATTTTCTTAGGTCTTAAATCTGCTGGTTGGGGAACAACCTACTGGAAGCAATAATTTTTCAGAAACAAAGACAACAGTACCTGCTGCACAGATGCCTGATTTGATTGATACAGGGGATCAAGATGACCCAGGAGCTCAAAATTCAGCTCAGGAAGGTAGCGAGAGGATAATGGGGAATAGCATGTTTACTTCTTCGGTTGATGATTTGCTGGGTGGTGAACCTATTGCTGATATAAGTACCACCACCAGTAATGGTAATGGAGGTGATCCGTTTGCAGACGTTTCATTCCATGAGACAGCAGATACTAAGGATACTAACGACCTATTCTCGGGGATGACGGTAGAAGAAAAGGCAACAGCAGCCTTGCATGATAGCTCATCAATAAACAAAAATGAATTGTCAGATATATTTGGCAGCAGCCCTGAGCCATTCTTCCAAGAAAGAGTAGAGGATAAAGGAACCGTGAATGATTTGATGGCTGGTTTGAACCTTAATGGAACTGCCCAAGCTCAGCCTGGGATTAAAACAGAATCTAACAATACTGTCAATGTTTCACAGCTCTTTGACATGAACAGTCAGACAACAAATGTGGCTAATTCTGCAGCAATGACTGGTATTCTTGGCCAAAGCTTTTATCAGCAACAGCAGGTTCCCTTGCAGTACAACTTGCCATCACAGATGCTGTTAAATCCAGCATTTGCTGGGCAGCAATTAAACTATGGTGCTATGAGTGTTCTTCTTGCTCAGCAGCAGCAGCTGCTGCAAAATCTAGGAAATTTCAATGCTGGGTTGGGACATTCGTCTTTGAATGCAATGAACAGCGGAAATGCATCTGTGCTTCCTGATATCTTCAATTCAAGTAACCAACCTCAACATGTTGCTGTGATGAGCAACTCAAAGAAGGATGAAACTAAAGCTTTTGATTTTGTTTCGGTATGCGCTTTCATCATGTCCCTAATTTATTCTTATTTCATTTCATATATAGACGTGCCAATATTACCAACTGTCATAATGCGTGGGCAGTATGAATCTATGGCTCTATGCTAGTTGCATAAGATGTTACTTCAGTTTTTGACATCTGAAGCACCATCCTCTGGTGTTAACAGTCCTAGTTTTCTTTCAGGATCATCTTGCAGCAGCTCGTGGTTCAAAAAAGTAACCCGAGAGCGATGGGTATGTTCAGAATGTAGCAACAATGCATTTGTTTGGCTTCACGCAAACTTCACTCGTACTCCATCGATTAGCTGGATCAATCTCAGGACAGGTTTTGCATGTTGTGCTGCAACAGATGACCCAAGAAAGAAAGAAAAGAATTCACGACGGGGGATTGTGTTGTATCATGTATCTAGACAAATGTCGATTTTTATGTTGAAATAAGCTGTACTTATCTTCTCAGTTTCTTTTGATGCCTTGCCTTTTTTTTTTTCTTTTAAAGAGTCGGACATTGTAGATTGTTCTCGGGCGGGATTTTGTTTTTGCTGCTGTACAACAGCATATTTGGTTCTTTTGACGGGAATTGTAAAGCTTGCTACGTTAATAACAGGTGCCATACGGGAATAATGATGCCTCTTGAACCATACTGCTCACATGTTGAGTACATTATATCTACGAACTATCTGCATTGTGCAGATTATGAATTACTCCCTCTGTTTCGAAATGTTTGACGCCGTTGATTTTTTAAGCACATGTTTGACCATTCGTTTTATTAAAAAAATTTAAGTAATTATTAATTCTTTTCTTATCATTTGATTCATTGTTAAATATATTTTTATGTAGGCATATAATTTTACATATTTTACAAAAGTTTTTGAATAAGACGAACGGTCAAACATGTGCTAAAAAGTCAACGGTGTCAAACATTTTAAAACGGAGGGAGTATGTATTAGCAGCACTAGTATCTAGTGAGATAAACTTTGGAAGAAAATTACTGACAAATAGACTTGTAGCTGAGTTCCACATTGTTAAAACCTTGTAGTAATGATGCTTATGGTTGTAAGGTAATTGCGATTTAGAAGGAATTGGAATTTATTCTTGCATTGTGATTAATATTTCTCGGAAGAATGTGTTAGGTAACTTCATCAATCTCAAGATATGTTGGTCCAGTTTTTCGTAGATGTTCATAAGGATAAATTGTGCGTGTGTTCATAAAAATAAGTGTACATGTACTATGGACGTCTGCGTTTGTACCGTGTAACATTTTTTTCTCTCGTTTTGAGAATTGAGAAACCTTTTTTCTCTTGTTTTGAGAATTGAGAACAAAAACTTTGGGTTTTGCTAGTTAATTGTCGACAATTTTCAGCTTTCAATTTGTTGGCTGTTCGATCTGGCTCTAGATTCGCCAAGATTCGTATTGGTGGAGGAAGATCCGGCTCTAAGATTTGCCAAGATTCGTGCCGGTGGAGGAAGATGGAAAAAGTTTACAAGCACACCATGGGGATCGAACCCAAAACCCGTTCGATTTGGCTCTAAGATTCACCAAGATTCATGCTGGCGGAGGAAGATGGAAAAAATTTGCAAGCGTGCCATGGGGATCGAACCGAACCCTGCAGTATACACACTTGTTCCATTAATTAGTTGCTCCGTTGCATTTTTATGAGAGTTACTGATCGAACACGTACTATAATTATATAATAATAGTTACATTTCAAAAGCTTTGATTGTTTGTGCTGGTTGCGGCAGCACCTAAAAGTTTTTCATCCAAAAAAAACTTTGTTGTATAGCTACTCCCAAAACTTTTCCAGGCTGTTTGGCCTACCGTACGGCTCCTCCTACTCACCCTCAAACCAACGTGTCGAATAAACGGCACCAGTACTTCTTTCCCCAGCGGGGACCACGCCACAGAAGATCATAGGATCCGGGGGGCCCACCTGCGACCAGGTTTCCCTGACAGCCCTGGCCCACACCGTGGACTCCGGCTCCAACTCGCCACCTCGCTTCCCTTCCCTCCCTCCCCGAGTTACACCTGACCCCGTCGAACCGGAGTCGCCCTCGCCGAATCCCCTCCGCTGACGAGTGGGCCCCACCGCGTCTCTGGGCCCACTGGTCAGCCGCCGCCGCCGCGGGGTGCGAACCCCGGATCGCATAAAATCACTACGCGCACGCGGTTTTTCCGCCTCGGCCGCACCCGCACTCCAACCAGCGCGAGCGGCGTCCTCCTCCTCCGTCGGCGTCGGCGGCGGCGGCGACGGCCATGGACTTCGGGTGAGTCGGCCCCCTCGTCGCCGCCGGCCGACCGACCGGACGGCGGTTCTCCTCTTCCCGGCGTTGTTTTGGGACTTATTTTTATTTTTATTTATTTATTTTGTAATGTGGTGTAGGTACGTCGGCGTGGGGCAGGGGAGCTCGTCGTCGTCGTCGTCGGCGTCGTGCCGAGCGGCGGACGTGGCGGCGTGGGGATCCTCCACCCAGCAGCAGCAGAAGCGGCAGCGGTGCCAGGTCGTGAGTCGTGACCACCCCGGCGGCCTGTTCCGTCTCGTCCCCGTAATAATAAATTTCGCTTTCCCCGAGTTTGATCTTGGCGTTGCTTGGTGGCGAGTGCGGTGTGCGGTGTCAAAATCTGCGATCGAGGTGCATCGCGTTTAGGGGGGTTTGGGCGGGGTCAGGAATTGGGGGTTTTCGTGTTGGGGGGGGGGGGGGTGGGGGGGGGGGGAAGGTTCGATCCTCGGCACTAGGGTTTGGGTTTTTGGTAGTGGTCTTCGCCCGCACACGGTTTCCGTTGAGTTCTCGTGTCGCGTGAGGCTACCAGAGGGGAAGAAGGTGATGCCGGAGAGGAGGAAGAAAGCGGCGTGGGGGCAGTGGCCCTGCGGTGGGGAATGGCTTGCTGGCTTGCCGGTGCTGGCACCTATGGCGCATTACAGGCAGACGCGCTCGCCAAGCGTCTCGCGAGTGCGAGTCATGGGGAATTGGGGATTGTGTGCGATGGCGGCTCAGTGGATTGGGGAAAGGTGGGATTACTGTTTGAGTCTATGTGTTTGGAGGGGCAAATCTAATCCGTTGTATTTTCATCTGATAATCGGAAATTCGACTGATTTAGGGGTTAAGAACATTCAAATAATAGGTAGTCAATCTATTAATCGTTTTGGAATCAAGGGGCTTGCAGATTCATTCATGCAGCATCTAGCCTTTTTGGGGTTGATTGGTGCAGTACCAGCCATAACATGTCATTACTCTGATCTTGGCTTCTGTAAATAATTTGAAGTGCAACTACAGTTCTCCAATCTCCACAATTTTCACCAGCACCTTTTTATCTTCCCTCTTTGAGGACTGACAACCATTTTATTGAAGAAATTTATCTTTTTCCCCAAAGTTAATTAGTAGGCCATCTATTATTTGCCCCATGTTTAAGTGAAAACTATATCTTTTGCCTCAATTGAAGCTTTTACCCCTACTGGATGACACATCTTCAGAACAAGTGGCTGGAGAAAACACCCAAAATACAAATTATTTGCACACTTCATAGTCTCATAGATATCTGTCTGCTGCAGAGTCAGCCGGATTTCTAATCAGCCGGTCTTACTTTTTTGTGACTTTTCTTGTCATAACTAGGAAAGTAGTGGAGAGTCAATACATTTTACATCATCAAGTACTGGTTAGCCTAACCTATAATAACATACTTATTCAACAGGGTTCTTCTGATGACCAAGTTGGATTGAGCACAAGTAATTCTTTGCAAATGTCAGAACCAGAGCCTCGAGATTTTGATAATGGAGAAAATGAGGAAGAAGATTACTATCTGGACGAGGACGATTGCATTTATGATGATGGCGATGGATATGATTATGAATTTGATGGCGGTGACTACTTCAACCAACGTCTTGCTGATAAATTTGATGATTTGGATTTGCCTCCAGGCGTGGAGGCTACTGTACCTTGGCTTCAGAAAATTATAACTAACGAAGAGCAAAGCAGTTCCAAATTGACAGTTGAAGATGAAAGCGCAAATAAAAGTGCAAATAAATCTCAGTTGTTCAAACAGTTTGACACTGTTAAAAATTTCTCTGATCATCATTATGCAGCAACATCAGGGGATGTGGTAATATGTTGAATTTGTTGTTTGCTTTTGTTTTATGCTTGTTTTAGATCTGTTATTTCATTTTTCCTCCATGTTTACATTATATTAGACAAAGAGAGACTGGGTGAAGAGGATTCAGCATGACTGGAAACTTTTGGAGAAAGATCTACCAGGTTAGCTATTTGCCTACTGGCATAGTGAGTTAGTTTCTTCTCTGCATGGCTGCACCTGTGAGTTGATCGTTAAGTACCCCTTTCACACTAACCATGCATTTTGATGCAATTAGTGCTAATAGTTTGCTGGTCAATAATCCAGCACAAGCATTGATTATGCTGCTTACACTATTTGGTTTATTGACTATATATGCTCGTCATGTAAGTGCCATGTAAGTTGAACACAACTGTTCATGGTTTAAATATGTAACCTGAATTTCCCTTTGAGAAACTAGTATTTCATCCTGTCCTTTTGATAAGGCTTCATGTAGATGTGATGCTATTTCCTTTCATTTCCTCTTATTGTTTTATTCTCACTGTGGAACTTATGTCTGCCTGCACAGACCATTATCTTTTACTACTATCTAGTGAGGGTACTAAAGCTATTTTCCTTCTCAATCTTAGAACTTACATCTTTGAGCCTTGTTAAAGTGCACCTTATAAGAAGGACCAGATTTGATTTTTCTTATAACACTATCAGTTCTCAAGTTTGTTTCCAAATGTTGTTTATGTTACACCTGCTTTTCGTCTGTAAAATATCTTTGGGAATCCTGTGGTGGGTTTGTTTCCAAATGTTGTTTACATTATGCTGATCACCTGCCTTTTGTCTGTAAAAATTCTTGGGAATCCTGCAGTGAGTTTGGAAATAGTGAATGATGCTTATGTTAGGATTTAGCATCCTGTCACTCACCATTCATAGCTCATAGATGTTGAACATATCAGGAAAAAAACTTTAGAGGAAATTGGACAAACTATAGCTTTCTTTGTTGCAGTGTATTTTCTCATTGTAGAAATCTGAATCCTGATTATTTTTGTTTTATGTAGCATCTATTTATGTCCGTGTTGCTGAAGATAGAATGGACCTTCTTAGGGCTGCTATTATCGGACCTAAGGGAACACCGTACCACGATGGGCTCTTCTTCTTTGATATTCAATTTAGTAACTCTTACCCTGCTAATCCTCCAGTATGTGCCTAAGTCTCAGCACTGCTTTTATGACATTTTCACCTTTTTATTTTGTTGAAATATTTGTTGTTGATGATGTTGCAGTCAGTATACTACCACTCTGGCGGACTACGGATTAACCCAAACTTATACAATAATGGAAAAGTATGCCTTAGTCTTCTTGGTACCTGGGCAGGTAGTGGTTGTGAGACGTGGAATCCATCTCAGTCGACCATGCTACAAGTGCTCGTCTCCATTCAAGCTCTCATTTTGAATGAGAAGCCCTACTTCAATGAGCCAGGATATGCATCCTACGCCAATAGTGTATCTGGAGAGCGGATTGCTATGGAGTATAACGACAACACATTTCTGCACTCATGCAGGACGATGCTCTACTCACTTCGGCGGCCTCCAGAGGTAATATTTTTGTTAATTTTTGCATAGACTCTAAAGCTGAAAAGAAAGGATATTTGTCACTTTAATGCAACCTGGAAACCCTGTCCAGTAAACAATGCTTGTGACATGGCAGTACTTTGCCACAATTGCCATATAGAAGTATTCCCTCTGTTCAAAAGAAAAGGCAACCTAGGAAAGGATCTCCCTCTGTTCAAAAGAAAAGGCAACCTAGGAAAGGATCTAGGTTCATTGTCCTAGAATATGTCACATCCTATATTCCTATCCTAGGTTGCATTTTTTTTAGACGGAGGGAGTACTGATTATGGTTAGCACGCAGAACATAGAGATTGATGGAGGGTTAAAGGTTATTTTTTCTTGAAAATAATGATTATAGGTGGAGGATGAAACGGAGAAGTTTGCTGAATAAACACACATGATTTGATTTGACTATAGCTTGGTGCTGGATTATGTTACCAACCCTACTTCCAATTTTTAACATCACAAAGTAGAACAGAAATCAAGTTTCCAAGCCGCTTTAACACTCCTCTCTTTGCCCCCTCGCAGCACTTCGCAGACCTTGTTACCAGCCACTTCAGGGAGCGCGGGCACACCATCCTGGCAGCATGCAGGTACTACATGGAAGGCCACAAGGTCGGATCGGTGGTCCCCGAAGAGAAGGAGCCGGAGTACGGCGACGCGGGAGCATCCACCAGCAGCGCCAGCGCCAGCGCCGCCGCCGCCGCTCTGAAGCCGCGGCCGGACAAGGTGGATTCCGTCAGTAGACGCCCCACGTTCAACGACAACCTCAAGACGCTGTTCGAGGAGCTCCTGATGGAGTTCAACGTGAAGGGCGCCGACACGGCCAAGTTCCTCGCCGAGAAGGTGAAGAAGAGCTCTGGTGCAACAACTACTGCGCCTGTAGGAGGCGCCCGTTATGCAGCAGAAGTGGTGGATGAGTGGATGGATTAGTCTGCTTTGCCTAACTGCAGAGAAGTTAATATCTTTCTCTCTCTTTTTTATTTCGTAGTACATAATTAGCTTATGGTTGCTAGGACTGGACTGGGCTGAACCTGTTGACCAAGATGATGAATTAAATAGATATATGCCTATCCATCTCAAGGCTCTTAAGACATCAAAAGGTTGTCCGCAATCTCATGTTAACATGTACGTACATATGATCGATCGAGATTGACGTGTTCCTACTTCGTAGGGTGCATAGCAAGTGTCATGTGTAACGACGTACGTATCTTTGTTTCTACTCTCTGAATACATGGAGCAAATCAAGCTTAACATCAAAATCTGAAATGATAAACATTTTGCACTGAATCCAGGGTGCATCATCCACCAATCATACTCATACATGCACATGGAAACATCTCATACATGCACATGGAAACATCTCTCTCACTACAAGTACACCCAAAAACCAAGGCGATTTCATATAGATCTACCTATGTTTATCTGTCCTAGTTGAATGTGCAATCTACCCTTCTTCACTCACACTACCATGCATGATCACTCTTAACTTACAAAGCTAAACACCAAAAAACCTTCTTGTTTACATCAGATGATGACCCAGGTGACATCCAAAACATCACATTGCATCGAGCGGCAAGCGATCGATCGATGATCACCTGAACCAAGGCCTCGCATTTTTTGTAATTGGTTTTAAAACACGATTAAGTTTATACTCTTTATCGGGTAATTTGCATATGATGAAGATCATGGCGTCCGGTGACCACCTATGGCACCGTGATCTGCACGCCGCCGTCGCCGCGGCGAGGAGCGGTTCGGGCGAGGAGGAGGAGGCCGTCCGCCGCGCCGCGCTCCCGGTAGCTCCAGAACGCGGCGTCGTTCACGGCCGCCGGCGGCGTGGGCTGGCCTCGGGGCCGGCGGAGCAGCAGCGCCATGCCGAGGCCGCCCTCGCCGCGGGACTCGAGGCGCGCCTGCCACGCGGGGGGCCGGAAGGCGCGGACCTCGACGGCGTCGCCGTCGTGCATGGCGTGGCGCGACGCGAACAGCGACCACTGCCCCGTGAGGCGGTAGGAGCGGCAGGTCGGGGAGCGGTCGCGCTTGAGCGCCATGGCGTAGGCGCGGCCCAGGCGGTCGAACGCCGGGACGGGGAGGCCGCCGCCGTCCCCCGTGAGTACCAGGTGGCGCTCCCCCGCCGTCAGCATGCCCAGCAGCGGCGACGTCCTGACCAGCCCCTCGGGGAGGACGAGGCGGGCCTTCTCGCGGCTGCGGTCCGACGGGGTCAGCCGCTTCGTCAGCACCAGCGCCGGCCGCGAGATGCGGAGGCGGCGCAGCTCGGCGCGCAGCCCGTCGTCTTCCTCCACGCCGGGAGGAGTAGGAACAGCCGGCCGCTTGCCCCCGAACCCTCCCTGTTCCCTGGCATGGTTCGCCATCTCCTGGATCGTCCACGCCGCCGCGTACGGGTGGTACCGCAGCAGCCTCTTCTTGGGAGGGAGCATCTCCGGCGGGACGCCGGCGAACGCGCCCTCACCGTCACCGGGCACGCGCCCCTCCACGTGCGGCAGGTGCTCGACGAAATGTCCCCTCACCGAACGGCACACGGAGGAGGCCGGGATCGTCGCCGCGCCATGCCAGAGCGGGAACCGGATGGCGCCGGGCGGTGGAGGGCATGGCGGCGGCAATGGCAGCCCGACGCAAGGGACGGAGAGGTGGGGGCAGAAGGGAGGCGGCGGCGGTGGTGGGCGGCGCGTCTTGCTTGGAGGAGAAGGTGGGAGTGGTGGGGTAGGAGGCGCAGGGGACCAGAGGAGGAAGGGAGATTGGAGATGGAGAGGCCCCATTCTCATTCTCTCTCCTCGTCTCGTCTCCTCGTGAGATGAGATGGTGGCACTTGGCACCCACGCCTTCGGCCTTCTTGTTCTTCTCTTTGGGGGGGGGGGGGGGGGGGGGGGGGACACCACCATTGCAACTATAAAGATTAGCACGTATAACGATGGTAGTGTTGTCTCGCCACGTCAGGTGAGACGGTGCGTGTGAACCGGTTTTGTATCTTTGAGACGCGCATGGGTTTATTTGTAGGTTTCCTTTTTAAAAAAGAGGTTTGGAAAGATCTAAATGTTGCTAAACCGAGCGTGTAAAGTTGGGGTTATTGGGATGGAGAAGGGTGGTAGTGTGATATGGTATGCGCGAGAAAATCCAGCGAGGATGTGAAAGCTAGCACTGGCCACGGGTAGCACCTCGGATTAGAGCGAAGCTTATCGGGTCACATTTGTCTGGTGCGCAATAGAAAACAACTCCGACACATCACTCAAATATGAGGGATAGATCATATGCATCGGTCTGATGGTTATTTTCTCAGTGGACCCCATATTTAATACCCAAGGTGATCATATAAAACTTACTTTACGGTGCTCTCTAATCTAATAGTGTTGTGTTACAAGTAGAAAATGATCCAGGTTGTTGATTTCTAGGCTATAATGTATTTCCCTACATATATGCTTTAGACATTTTGATCATGCACATAACCTCTGTTGCATACTGATTGGCGATACAACAATGTAAGACCTCGCGATATAGGTTACTCTAGTTAAAGTTACTAATACATTGAATATAAAAACTCATCATATCTCGAATATAGTGCTAGGATTTTCAACTCTAAAAATTAAAACTTTAGATTTTAGAAGTCCATCCCCTAATGAAAATTATAAGGTTACTTGACAAACCTATTTTTCTCATGGGCAGACTAACTCATGAACCATATAGGTAATAGCTTTCATTCTTCCTCCTTCCTTTTCTCTACGTGACGAAAAACCATCAATTTCTGAAGAGCGTATATTCTTCTATTATACTCCCTCCGTTTTGAGTTATAAGACGGTTTGACCTATTTCAAGTTTGATTAAGTTTATAGACAAATATAATAATATTTATAATACTAAATTTGTTTCATCAAATCAATAATTGAATATATTTTCATAATAAATTTGTCTTGGGTTGAAAATGTTACTATTTTTTCTACAAATTTAATCAAACTTAAAGCAGTTTGATGTTGACTAAAGTCAAAACGTTTTATAGCATGAAACGGAGGGAGTAGTAAGTTATATCCCTCAACCATTTCACTTCACACATGATAAATATACATGAAAGGAAAACATATATCAGAGGTCTCTTATCTTATCACCGAATTACAAAATTATCCCTCAACTAGCAGACCTTAGATATTTGGGTTTTCGGTTGAAGGACGGTTTTGTAATTCGGTGAAAAGATGAGGGATTTCAATGTACTTTTTCCTACATGAAAAATAGAGGAAGAAGAGAAAGTCAAGGCCCAACAAAACCTGGGCACGAGCCAAGCCCAAAAAGGTAGAGGCCCTAAGGCCCAACGGCCCAAGCCCAAAAGCTACTCTCGAATCTCGAGCTAGCCAAGCCAAGCCAAGCCAAAAAAAGCCCTAGCCGCCTCGTCCCCACCCAATCCTCCTCCCTCGCCGCTCGCCGTGCTCCCGCTCCCGCTCCGGCCGGCGACCACCGGGAAGAGGAGAGCTCGAGATGAGCTTGCGGCCGGGCAGGGCGCACCCCCTCGCCGCGTCTCCCCTCCACACCCCGCTCCCTGCTAGGCCTAGGCCCCAGCTGAGGCTGAGCACCTCCACCAGCTGCGCCGCCATGAAGTCGTACAGGCTGTCGGAGCTCAGCGACGCCGAGGTCGGCGGCCTCAAGGCGCGCCCCCGCATCGACTTCTCCTCCATTTTCGGCACGGTGAGATAGAGACGAGATGGAGAGAGAGAGAGAGAGAGAGAGAGAGCGAGCTACACTAGCCGTGGTCACTGCGTGAATTTGTGATTGATTGTCTCTCAACCATTGGGCTTAGTCTTTTTTTTCTTTTTTTTGGGTGCGAGTAGGTCAATCCGATTGTTGAAGACGTGCGCATGCGAGGCGATGCTGCGGTCAAGGAGTAAGTGATGATGATGATGGTGTAGTGTTCGATCCTTTTGGACCATGTATAGCATGATTTTTGTATTGACTTCCTGGGTTTGGTTTGCTCAGTTATACAGTGAAGTTCGACAAGGTTGCACTCGATGATGTGGTTGTGCGTGTTAGCGATCTTCCGGATGTGGAGGTATTCACCTTGTATTAGTTATATGATGACTGCATGTGAGTGCTTGGTGCCAAACTTGTGTTCTACTAGTATAGAATTATGTTGTGAACTCTGTGTACTTGCATTCAGAGCCTTCAAATGCTAAGTGATAGTTGCGCCTAAAGGCGTTAATTTGTACACTGGCGTACCGGGGGATGGGTAACCATGTTTTCATTACTTACTGGATGGGTTTCAGTTGCCTTACATGTGAATCTTGAATCTTGTAGCTTGATCCAGCTGTGAAGGAAGCCTTTGATGTGGCATATGACAACATTTATGCCTTCCACGTTTCGCAAAAGTTGCCTGAAAAGACTGTTGAGAATATGAAAGTAAGACCCATTTGTTGATCCCATTTAGCTCTAATTCCATCCCTGCCTTTACCTTCCTCTCATACCTTTTGACTTGTGAACTCTTCCCTGGATGTGTTGAAGGGTGTAAGATGTAAAAGAATAACAAGATGCATTGGTTCTGTTGGCCTTTATGTCCCAGGTGGCACTGCAGTATTGCCTTCCACTGCATTGATGCTTGCTGTGGTATGGTCATGTTTTCTTAAATTGTGTTAACTCATCATTCTCTTCTCATTGTTTTTTACAATTTAATATAGTAAATCTCTTTCTGCCAGCCTGCACAGATTGCTGGTTGCAAAACTGTTGTTCTTGCCACACCCCCTAGTCGTGATGGTAGCATATGTAAGGTACAATTTTATTGGATGCAGGATTGCTGCTATTTCTGAGAAGTTGATATGTTTGTGTTTCTAATGTTGAATTATTTGGAATCGGTTGTTGCTCTTGTCCTCCGCAGGAGGTTCTTTACTGTGCTAAAAAAGCTGGTGTGACACATGTATTGAAAGCTGGAGGAGCTCAGGTAGGACATTTGATAGTTCATAGTACTATCTTGTGTTCCCCAATATGGCGTTGAGTTAAATTATTGTTGTTTTCTTTCAGGCCATTTCAGCCATGGCATGGGGAACAGTCTCATGCCCAAAGGTACTTGGAATCTTTTGTTCTGTAACTTGTAGGGGCTATTTTTAGGTGCACCATGCAGGGGATAGGGGCTGTGGTCTTCTCTTTACTCTATATATGATTGTTATAGAACTGCAAATATGAGTATATGACTTAACCAGCTTGAGCAGTTTTTGTGATTGTATTCTGAGTGGATTCGTATTCTTCTAATACAAACTAGGGAAATACATATGCACTATTGATTCTGTTTGGCTGGCTTATTGTCACTAGTGTTAACTTAGCAGACTTCAGAAATGCTTTAGTTGCACTAGTATTTTTCTGTACTCATTTATTCATAACAATTGTGTCATTTCCATTATTTGTGGTGATCAACTTATATACTGTCTTTGTAGGTTGAAAAAATATTTGGACCTGGAAATCAGTATGTCACGGCTGCAAAAATGATTCTTCAGGTTCTATTCTGATCATTCTGTAAAATCCTGAACAATATCTGCCCTGGTGACAATATTTTTCTTGTTTGATGGCAGAACAGTGAAGCCATGGTTTCTATAGACATGCCTGCTGGCCCTTCAGAAGTATTAGTGATAGCGGATAAATATGCAAACCCAGTTCATGTTGCTGCTGATTTGTTATCTCAGGTATCTTCTATTCTTAATACCCTGCTTCATACTGGTGAAATGTGTACTTGTTATTGAACTTCCTTTACTCTTTGAAATGCCATATTTGAGAATCTGAGGCATAGGAATTACATGATGTCGTGAAGCTTTGTTAAGTATCATATTATATTATATAACAGTTGTTCGTTCAAAATTTTAGGCGGAACATGGCCCAGACAGTCAGGTTGTTCTAGTTGTTGCGGGAGACGGTGTTGATTTGGGTGCTATTGAGGCAGAAGTTAGCAAGCAGTGCTCTGCTCTTCCTAGGGGAGAATTTGCTTCGAAAGCTCTTGGCCACAGTTTCACTGTTTTTGCGAAAGACATGGTTGAGGTAATTCTTCATTCCTGCCCACTCTCGAATTATTTATAATTTGTAAGGCACGTACTATACATCACTGGAGTTTGAGGTCGTAGAATTTTGCAGCATGCATGAAGGTAAATGAAAATTATCTGATCTATTGCCGTTCCCAGGGATTGTTGACAAGCCCCCTCTTTCTTCCTTATGTAGGCAATTTCATTCTCCAATATGTATGCCCCTGAGCATTTGATCATCAATGTAAAGGATGCTGAACAGTGGGAGGATCTTGTCGAGAATGCAGGTATAGGCATACCTGTCAGCGTCTTAATCTTGACCTGAACATTTTCATACTTCAATGGTAATCTCAGGCGATCGTTTTTTCATCACAGGGTCGGTCTTCTTGGGACAATGGACCCCGGAGAGCGTGGGCGACTATGCAAGCGGCACAAACCATGTCCTTCCAACCTATGGTTACGCAAGGATGTATAGCGGCGTGTCACTGAACTCATTCCTCAAGTACATCACTGTCCAGTCCTTGTCAGAGGAAGGGTTGAGAAGTCTGGGTCCGCATGTGGCAAAGATGGCTGAAGTCGAAGGACTAGAGGCTCACAGAAGAGCTGTTACCCTCAGACTTCAGGACATCGAAGCCACTGTAACCGTGTAGATTTGTTACCATGATTGTTCTAGGGGCCAACTTGGATGCAGAGAACAAGAATCTGTGAACACCCTAATGAGAAGGGATGGTCCAGCTGTTTCTCGAAATAAGGCTCATCCATTTTGATACATCTTTGAATATAAAGTTTGTTTGATTGTGTTACACTTTCAAGTATTCAAGAGGACGAAATCTGTGAAGACTGTAAGGAAAAGGGATATGATCCAGCTATTACTCGAAATAAGGCCCATCCATTTTGAATCTTTGGTCCGTCTATTGAATGCAAAGTTTGTTGACTATGTTACTACTACTACTCAAGTATTCAAGAGGGGTAAACCTATGTGCAAATGGTATACAATTTCAGTATAAAAATATTGACAGCAGGGTTTCACTTGCATTATGTTTCTCGGTAGATACCGTGATGATTTGCACTTGATAATGCCAATCTAGGTATAACATATGTGATTTTACATCAGCACAAGACATCAAAAATTGCAAGATTATACAATGTCCATGTTCTAACATCCCCAGTGCTTATCTATACACATAAGTGAAGCGGCATACGCAGTCTGCAGTCTATAATAATCTCATCATCTTTGTAAGGTTAGCGATCTTAAATCACCGAAACAGCTGCCATTGGCAGGCATAGCGGTCTAGTTTTTAACTCCGGAATCCCACTCAGCTTCACGATAGAGCAGTTTCGACGGTTTGATGAAGGAAACCGGGAGGCGACATTGGTGGCATCGCTTCTTCCTGGGCATCAACCATTTCTAGGATCTTTCTTACTGTGGCTTGCAAATGATCACCTTGGGTTATATTTGGATGAATAGACTCCTTGTTTTTGAGATCCGTATTTGATGACTTAAATTTTGCATGCGCTTTTGCTGAAGTTACCGCGGTGGTGAATACGCCGGATTCCTTGAGACCACGAATGATAGCCTGCAAAGATGAATCATTCAAGAGATGAGTTGCTGCCTTCATTGTTGAGATAAAGGTACTCCTAATAGAAGTTCGAGATTGTGACTTGCCATTGGGGCATATATGCGTGTCAACACACCCTTCCTCAAAAGCTTCAAATTGGTATCTTTGTCGTTCCATAAAACATGTTCCCGGAACCTGAAGAGGAAGTCCGACAAATACAATCTTTAGTTAAGGGAGAGAAGTAGGGAGGGTGCAGGCTACAGGAGAGAAGGGGTGTTTACCAGTTCCTCATTTCCTCCTCGGTAGCTGTTGATGCAATTATAAAGGCCTGGCATGTAAGAGTGGATCCAAATTTATTAGTGTTATCAAACTAGCTGCTTACACTGTTACACAATTAGCTATGCTATGCAATGTCACAAACAAGTTATCCCATTGCAGGCTACAACAGTTGCTCTTGGCAAAGCTATGATAGAGAGAATGCAAAGAGCATCAACTTCTCATTCTTAAGAGACTGTTATTGGTATCATACAACAAGAAGTCGACCAACGTTACAAATGAAACGAAGGGAAAGAACACAAATAAACTCACCAATCTGTCAAATTCCAAGATAAAACATCGCTTCACATCTTCCTTTGTGGGCTTGCAGCCACACCTATCCCTCCTTGAAGTTAAGTCTGAGAACTTTGTGTAAGTGTAATGCAGAATAGCAGCTTCCTCCAACTTGATTTCACTACATGAATATATAACTGATGACTAAAATGACCAGAAGAAACACTAAAATTTGTCCTCTGAACAACTTTAGTTTTATAAAAAATATATGTCAATGTTTTCAGATGTCTGTCATCTTACTTTGGGGTTTTCATGTAATTATGCCATCTATGAGCACCATTTGGACGCAGATGCTCCTGAACCCTTGCTGCTGATTTCCCATTACCGTAAGTGAGAAAATAGTTTGGATTACCACGCGTTGCTTCTTTGTATAGGCCAAAATATGTATCCTTTGGAAGATGATCATAATTTTTCTTAAACATGGAAACCTGCGGATAAGAAAAACTGATAAGAATTTACAGAGAATATGATGGATGATAGTTGAGCTATGAAATCTGTAGACAACAGATTTTGGCCAGAAAATTAAACAACAGCTTGAAGCACATGGACGCACATTATTGATCATGCACAACTTACAATAAACAATCAACAAAATATGTAATGAAGCTATAGAAGTCGCAACATAGATAGGGTTGGTGTGGAAACAGCAATATGGACTATTGCATATTAACTAGTCTCCATCAAGCAACAAAACTTTATCCTCATGAAGCTTTTCTTCTTTTGACAGGATAAACAAAGGGGAATTAGTTTTACCTTCCAAAGTTTCACCAGTTTAAGGTTTCGATTTCTTAGCGCAATGCAAAGTGAAAGGTAACACTGTGACTAAAGCAGGCAATTCTGAATACATACTTTAATTCTTCTAAATTTTAAGCATGCACCTGGCCCAGTAACAAGGGCTCTTGCTAATAGCTGCCAAAATTGGTGAGCTTCTCTCCGATTTGCTTCAAATTATGAAGTTCTAACAACACAACAAATTACAGGCGAAATCTTGTCTACTACAAATCCCGAAATGCTACAGCCTCACAAAGTGTTTTCAAAATTCTAGTGATCAATTTTTTTCTGTGGAGAAATATTTTTTGCAGTGGTTTTCATTAAATCATGCCTTCTATTGTGGTATATGGGCAATATTTTCCTTTACTTTTCTTACTTTTATTTGAATTAGTAATAGCTTACACACCTCTGTGAAAGGATCTTTGATGTCATCTCGCTCAATGCTGCTCTCCTGGGGAAAATAAATAAAAATTAGATGTGAAACAGGCTACATCCTCAACAGAAAATTTATTCTGCAACTCACATAGTTGGGGAAGATAACCATGTCAACATTATCAGGAACATCTAAAAGCAATCGCCTCAGAGAGTACTCCCGGGCACCAGCTGGATGAATTAGCTCATCGGTATCAAGATGAATGATCCAGTCCATGCCAGCATCCTACGATAATCAAACAGGGAGAAGCTCAAATAAAGCTAATCACCAAAAACAGGGTTTCTGGAGAACTAAACAAACAACATCATGCAAAATGCCTTCGTGAGTAAGCATATTATTATAATCTTGTGTGCCAACTGCCAACAACGGTTGATGTAAACCACATCATTCATATGGCATTGGCACGGTAGTATAACATGTTACAATTATTGGGATTTCTTAACTTTTTGCTGCTAGCAGTAGCAATTGGGCTAACATTTATAGCGGACCGTGAAAAAGGATATGTGAATTATTGATTATGATGATTAACTGGTGTGTGTATTTGTTTTTTTTTGTCAACTTTACATGCATTAGTTGTACCATCCCATTACTCACCCTACACGTGAGTGAGAAGAAAACAATATAATGACAAAAAGGTTGATTAGTTAATTATACCAGAGATATTCCCCTTTTGTTACTGTAGTATTGTTACACAAATCACCTCATATCTTACATGTTTGTGCTGTATTATGCTACACAGTTCAACAGCGAGGCTGAACATGATATGGTGATAATTATGGTTCCCCTTAGAAATTGAGGGGAAATAGCATGGAGGTAGCTGAAAAATGGGTAAAACAAAAAGGCTATGGTGCTTTTGAATCAAAATTGTGATAATTATCATTTCACAAGAGCATGATTGTGAATATTGAATCAAAAGCGCATGAACATGCAAAACGAACAGTTCATACCCTTGCCATAATGATAGCCATTTCCATGTTCAGCGACTGTTTGACAAATAGTTCATAATTGCACGGTTTGTAAAAGAAACCTGCCAGCCAAGTCTCATTCCAAATGCGACTGAAAATGTTTTAACAGTAGAAATTCAGACCACGAAAAATATCAAGAAAAATACAGGTAAACTTGTTAGCAACATACACATATTTCACTAGCAAAAGGGAAACAAACATACAGGACCCAAACAACATGAATACTTCAGAAATAAGAAATTGCAAATCTTGTAAAATGGGTTCGATCAACAAAAATGTTATAGAAGCAAGAAGGTTTGGTTCCATCTTTACTACTAGAACTCAACCACATCATTTGAAGCAAACAGTATAAGACTTAATCACTGCTTTTCTAATCTATATCTTGTTAAAGCAGTGTCCTAGAAGAATTAAATTTTAGATTGTCAGTGGACCAATCTCCAACAAAACCTCATCTTTTACAAAAAAAAACTCTAAACAGCTTCTCAGTACATCACAATACCTTCTGTCCTGTTTCTCTTTCAATTCTTTAGTTCTGTAAATGATTTTTACACCCTAAATTAGAAACAAAAAGAAGTCAGAACTAGATCCTGCAAAAGTCATACAAGTACAGAACGAAATGGTGCAGAGTTGTTTACCCGAATGGATTCAAGAACTGAGGTAACAGCTGGTTTCGCAGCCTCTCCTTCAACAAAAAGGAAAAAGTGTGAAACACCGATGACCTTGTGGTAGTACAACCATGGAAGAATTTGGTGTAACCCTGCAGATGTGCTTCCCGTGATACAGATCTGCAGAATCATGAAGATATATTCAGGGGCATAATCAGTTAACATAAGCTCATCCCATGATAAACGAGACTCGCATACCACATTCTCACAAATAAGACAGGATTAATTTTGATGTTCAGATTACAAAAAAGCGAACAATTGTACAACCATAGTAGGGTGCATGAATCATAGTTGCACCATCCATTTCAATGCAAAATACAAGATGTTCAAATACCGAAATTTTAATGGCTCACACAAGGAACATGCAAGACTGCGAATCAACCAACACCCACAAACCCTGTCAACCAAAGTTCTTGGAAGAATGCACCACCCCGACATTGCTCTGTGTCAAACACGTTTCCTATCTCTGGGCTACAGAATTCGGTTGAAAAAGACAATCTCTAAGTGACCACTAACCTCTAAAATCTAAATCACATCAAATAGGACTCAATTTGATGCAGTAGCGAAGGAGCAAGTCAGGAACACAACAATCTACAATCTACGACAAATAAATCAGCATTGAAGCATCAAAATACTCTAGAAGATAGGACCTTGCCCGCAGAACAGGCCTACACAGAAAGCAAGAGTACTTAAACCCTAGAATAACCATTTGATGCCATCGCCGTATTGCCCAAACTGCAAAATATTGCTACATTCCACGAAGATGACTATCTCATCCTCGCAGGACAGAAATGCGATCTCACCAAAACATTTCAGGCTACTTTTGGATCTCTTAATATCGCGGCTTTCAAATTGGATTCACGTCTAAAGCAAAGCGCAATTCAGCGGCACGAGGTTCACATCGAGGCCGCTCTGGAGACGAGATCTCCACGCGCAGATCAGATCGGGGAGCGGAAACCTCACCTTGGGGGTTAGTCCCGCGTCGGAGTCGAAGCCCCACCCGCGGTAGAGCGAGATGCCGCCGTGCGAGGAGGACGCCGCGCTCCGGCCGAGGATCTCGGCGCAGTCTGCGGCCGCGGAGGAGGACTGCGACGAGGTGACGGCGAAGTAGGACCCGCCTCCCCCGCCCCCGCCCGAGGAGGAGGAGGAGGATCCGAGCGGGCTGTTCTCCATGCCGGGGAACCTCTGCGTCTCCGCGGGCCACGCCGCGCCCGCCGGGTCGCGCATCCCGCCGCGCCACTGCAGCGCGAAGGCGAACGCGGCCAGCGCCATCGGCAGCAGCGTGAGGAGCAGCAGCACCCGCGTCGCGAACGCCGACGCCGACGACGCCCCCCCGCCGCCGCCGCCCGAGGCGGAACCCCCGCCGCGGTATCCCGCCATGGCGGTGGTTGGTTGGTGGACTGGACAGAGACGCCTTCGCCGCTTTTAGTTCGGTTGTACTCTCTCCCAGCGTCGCACACGCGAAGACGACGAGAGGAGTGAGAGGTGAGAACGAGATGTTGGGCCGAGATTAATGGGCCGGATGGGGGTAAGCAGATGGGATAAGTTTACTTTGGGTCACTCATCGTGGTGCCGAGTTCTTTGAACCGCGATACTCAGATATAATGCATTTCTCAACTTGTAATACCGAAAGTAGCTAAGGTCCCAGCCTCCCGGGGCAATATTATGTCTGGTTTTTGGCTGACGTTACGAGTTGATTGTGGTTAACCCGGTTGGAGTCAACATGACAGGGACAGAGACAGGAGTAGGGCAGGTTGGCCATACTCCTGATCCTAAATAAATATTCATTGAAATTCCATTTTAAAACTTCAAAAACTAGAAGATAAAGTCAAAATTATATACATTCAACCAATTGAGCCCTAGGTTTGGAAAAATTCTGGCTCTGCCACTAGAACATGGGATCTACGTGTTAGAGTATCCTCAACAGCTCCTCTATCTAGTCATCCATCCGGTGTTTGGCGCATGGAGGAGAAAAACAGTGCTCCAGCAGAGTCTCCATTGCACACGCCATTTTTAGAGGTCCTCCAAACCGAGCCCTTCCCAAGCCAAATATGGCGGTTCTCTCTCCTCACACCATCCTCAACTGCTTACCTCACAATCGAACTCGCGCCACCATCTAGACTACATAACGCGAGAGAGTAGCAGTAAAGAGGAAGTGCATACCGGAGTAGAGGCGGAGAGGTGGTGGATCTGGAGGTGGAGAGAACCGGAGTAGAGGCGGAGAGGCGGCGAATCTGGCAGCGAAGAGGTGTCTTCCCACTGCTCTTGCGACCGCGCCTCCCCTCCGACCGGCCGTTCCTCGGATCGACGCCACCCGGCCATCCCCGCCGCTCCGAGTCAACGCCCGCGCCGCCACTCCTCTGACCGCGTCACCCCGCCGCTCCTCCGACTGTGCCGCTCCCTCTGACCGGCCGCTCCTTCGACTCATGCCACCCCGCCGCCCTCACCGCTCAGGTCTTCGCCCGCGCCGCTCCCCCCGATCGGCCCACGTCCTCTCGGCTGTAGAAGAGAGAGTGGTGAGGAAGATTTTTTTTAAGTGGTGAAAAGTGAGAGGAATTGAGTAAAAATATGTGGTGGTTGAAAAATATTAATAAAATATAGGATGTTAATATATGGAGAATGTAATATGGATGATCTGTTGAAGTGAAAAGTAATATAGAGTGAGAATCTTTTTGGATAGCCATCTAATTAGAAATATGGAAGTTGAAATTTAGATGAGCTGCCGGAGATGCTCTAAATAGAAATATGGGATAAGCAAATCTGCAAGCACAGTACATTTGTCTACAACCACTTTGCTATCATCACCAGGCAAAAAAATGAAAAAGGGAAAACTTGTGAATCCAATACACGATCATGGCGATAGTGCAGTGCCATGTTACATGTCTCCAACACCATGACCTACCAACAGCCTACTCTGCTACTCACCCCACATGCACTACTCTGCTCACCTGTATTGATTTACGGCAAATCCGAAATCAGCAACGCACAACAGCCAGGGTCCCAGGGAATTCTAAAAAGAAAAAAAATTACTGCACTGCCCCATGCAGATTTTACAAGCACTGCGTATCTCTACCTTATCAACATGGTTTTTTTTCCCGAGAAATATTCGGTTTCCTAGATGCCACAGAGAACTATGAATTCCTATGTCTTTCTATCATTTCTGTGAAGGGATAGATCAGGTATCTGAAGAACACCAAGACCAAAACGTTCACTTCGGATGTGTTCAGTTCACGCTAAAATTGGAAGTTTGATTGAAATGGGAACGATGCGACGGAAAAGTTGAAAGTTTGTATGTGTAAGAAAATTTTGATGGGATAGAAAAGTTGGAACCTAAACCAGCCCTTCGTCAGAAAATAATCAAGATAGAAAGTTTGTTCCTGCTCCTGCTCCTGCAGTCCTACTAATCAAAAGTAACAAGATGCAGCCATGGACCAATTCAGATATGTACATTTTCAGATGGCACATACACACACACGTACAGTGGTAAATATATAAATATACAGATCATATGATATGAGACCATATAACTATATGTTGGTTAGTTTTCAGAATTATTAGCTGCATTTGCACATGTTGTGTCGCCTCGCCCTGATGAGTGGCTGTGATTGGCGCCGCGATGTTCGGAGGCCCGGGATGCACGTTGTCTTTGCATCTGGCAATGATCCTGTCCGTCCAAAATAGCAATTGTTTTCAACTTAATTAACTACGTGTGATAATTGGTTCTGCTGATTATTGTGCCGCATAAATGTTAGTATATTAGGGCACTGTCATGCAATTGTGGCAAATATATTCAGACATTTGAGCTACTTCTTCATGCAGAAATAGGAGTACATGTTTTACATGTCACTTTTGGATGAATTTTTTTTTAAAGGTCTAGATTACTTCTAATATCAATAGATAAACATTGTAAAAGTTTTATTTCATTCACAAAACAATTCATGTAATCAATAACAACATAATACTAGTTAGTTATAGTTAATCAATAACAGCATAATACTTCTAGTAATTATCACTAGGATTCAACTTTTTGTTTTCGGTGTTTGTATCGGGCAGCGCCGATATGGTGAAATTTCCGAAATTTGGAACCAAAATTAGTCAAATTTGAACAAATATTACCAAAATTCACGAAAAAAATTTTAAAATAAAATTTTTGGCCAAAATAATATCGTATCCGGGGGGGGGGGGGGGAGTCCGAAATGACTGAAATATCCAAAATTTCGGTCCGAAATGTCAAACTCTAGCTATCACCACCATGGCATAATAACGACCTAACCAACGGGAGTATTTAGCAACCTACAGCTAGAAGAGGCACTGCTGATGTTTCCTTAGTGATCAGAGCTTGTGGTTCAATTTTCATATTATCATAATCATAGCACTGTCATGTAAATTGGGTAGATGGCATACATGCATCACTTGCTACATCAACAGTGACACTTGCTACTATATCATGACACAATTTCTTGTACACACTACAAGCAAGGACATTCAGGGATAACAAGTTTTCTTGCCAGCTATATCAATCCAATCCATACGGTGTGGGTGTCACTTGGGCTAAACCTTAATAAAGTTCAACTCACCCACTAATTACATGCTACTACCTGGATTGTTTATAAATATCAGATATAGTAACATTTGACTAATTAATTTGAGCCGTTGTGTTAATTTTCAAATGTCTTGATTTTCTCGGCTTTACGAATATATCGATAAGCATGTTGGGCTGATTGCGTTGTGTATCAAACACTCTGCTTTCTTCTAATATAATTGACGTGCAATTATTTTGTGCGTTCGAAAAAAATGAATATATCGATAACATATTTCCATGACAGGGGAGCATGGGTTTTCTAAGTTTTTTTTTAATAAAAAGGAGATATGGACAATCAGTGAGATTTGAAATTCATAATTGTAATGATAACTAGTAAATTCAAATATTCAATTTATCATCATGAGGTAATTAGGCCTGGGAACCATCAATCTCTATTCTTGAGCCATACTTATGGTGGTCCTGGTCTCCTAGCCCTGTGCCCCCCCTGGACTTCCTGGCTTGGCTAAACCACCAGACCAACCACCAACACATCACAATCATTCAAGACAACTCTATGTAACTTGTCCAACTAAACTCCAAAAAGAAATGATAACATGAGATCAGTTTTATCTTAAAAGAATTGTTTGCACTAGCTAATATTAGGGAAAAAACATGGAAATATCTTCTTCAATTCCTTTTCCAACTGTATGTAGAAATAGTTCCTCTCACTAACTCGATAGTGTTGTATGGTAGATATTTTCTAAGCAGCATGCTCTATAACTTGTAAAGAGTATATGTGTCGAGTTAGTTTTTTTTTCTATAATACACTTTCTTTAGGAAATATATTTTTATGGTATTTACTCCCTAGATAATAGATAATATGATCATACAAATTATATAAAGACAAACTAAAGCGAGTCAAAGAAAAGGTAAATACCACTAAAAAGAATATTCCATCCCCTGTTTGTCTTTATCAAAAACCTATCCTTTCCGAAAACGACCAATGGAAGGAATCTAGCTCCCATGGTTTATTATGTATTGTGCCTTTGACAACCAGCTTTCCCTATGGTTTAGATTCCTATGAATCTTTCCCATTTTTTCTACCGAGTGCATAAACTTAAAAATAGCCACATCATTCTTGTGCAATTCATTCAGCTGTAAGCAATTGTATTTATCTGTTTATGTTCAAGCTCGGTTGCAGCTAATCCGTTCTAGCTAAACGAACTTGGTATATGTAACTACTAGGAAAAACACGTGATCAATTATCAACTACTACAGACTTGAAAAAAATTAATTTATTTGATTAAAAAAACTATATAGAAAGCTTTTTACGAAATACACTTTTTAAGTAGTTTGGAAAGCATGTTAACGGTGAAAAAAGAGAATTAGCCCACCTAAACAATACTTCCAAACACAGCCTAACTCTCAGTAAATAGAACCAGACGAAGCGAATCAACAAGAAGTTATTTCATAGGTAAAAAGTGAATAAATCCCAATTAATTAAGCCAATAGATGAATAATCTAGCTAGATTTAATCATACTATGAGCCTATTTTTCACGGTGACATTCCTGGCGACAGGGTATATTGTCATTGAAGTACTCCATGTGTGTGGACCTTGTGATGCAAGCTTGAGTGATGAACTAAAACAGCGACAAAGCGCCCAAGGTATTAGAAGGGAAAAAAAATTAAAGAGCTGAAATGACTACTTTGCCCCTGTCCTAAACAACAAAAGAAAATATCAAGGCAAAACTTAAATATCAATCAACATCTTTACTCCTCCTTTTCTTAATTTCTTTTTGAGCCCTCACTCTCTGTCCTCTCTTTTTGTTGAATTAATTAATTAATTCTCCCTTTCAATCTTTTTTTAAGAACTCTTTTCTTTTTAGAACTCCCCTCTCAATCTCTCTCTCTCTCTCTCTCTCTCTCTCTCTCTCTCTCTCTCTCTCTCTCTCTCTCTCTCTCTCTCTCTCTCTTTTTCCCCTTTAAAGATATGCGTGCAGTGACGATCGATTGAAGAAGCAGAGCGTGATTAGGATCAAGCTCACGTCGTTTTCGCCGTGGCACTGATTGATATCTGGCTCAGTTTGCTTGCTTGCTTGCTTGCTTCAGGTTCCTAAGTAATTATCTCTAAATAATTAAGCTTCCGTGCCATGATTTGGTACACATGCAGCAGTAGTAGTAGTGCCCAGCTTATTTGTCACTGAATTTATATTATTCCTCGTGCTTATCTTGTGAGGAAAAGTTTGGATATATATATATATATATATATATATATATATATCAAGGTGATGTCATTACTTAGGTCCAGTAGCTTTGAAGTCCAATGTTCAAGCTTTGATTTTTTTTTCTATATGACGCGTTGATGTTTTCCTAAAAGAATATTGGTGGACTTTATTTATGTATAAACGTTTGATACATAAATATGGGATATATATGTGTAATATTGATATTTGAGAAATACACTTTTGTTACTAGATTTTATACATATACCATGGTCAAATTAATTTATTGGCCGGCAGAACAACAATCTATATGTGTGGCAATTTTCTAGATAATGCCTTTACCCCGAATTTAGGATAAGATTCTATAGATCCGAATTAAACATTTAGGATAAGATTTAGTTACACTTTTAAAGCTTTGACTATCAATAATTTTCCAAATGTTTGAGTTAGATTTGCCTTGGCATCATAATATCATTAGATTTGATGGTCAAAATTCTACAAATTTGATTGAATATTGCTCCAAACGTCAGATGAAGTACGTACTAGTATGTACGAGAAGATGCATATCATACATGGTATCACTCATGGAACAATTAATTGCAAAGGCCAGACATGTCCTTCCCACCTATCCATATTTTTGTTTACGTAGTATGTATACGCAATCAAATTAAGTTGATCACGACATGTAAGCAAAGATTTTCTCCCCCCAAGGTAACCAATGGATCAACAACAACAAACTGTACCATATGAACATATATCCACAGCCATTAATTTGTATTACAATTGGAGAGGGTGCATATATATGTCTATCTTCATCACACCTCAAGCCGAAAATTTGTAAACAAAAGAAAAAAAAAGATATGGATAATATACACAAGCTCCTTATGATCATGACCAACAAACATATGAATATAATTACACATGTTTAATCACCCCCAAAAAACAAGAAACCCCACATAAATTAATTTACAACCGATGAGGCGACCATATATATATATAGGAGAGAGATGAAAGGATCAAAGGGTGAAAGAATTCAATAACAAATGTTCTTGCATGCCAAGTGTGTGTATCTTGATTTTTACTTACTTTTTGTGCAGAGACTGAGAGAGAGTAGTGTGATCACATTAACCTTAATCTTGATTTTAATTACCATCAGCTAAGCTTAGCTAAGCTAGCTTAGCTTTGCTTGCTTCTGGAGTGATCACTACTGCTTCTCCGGCTCAGCCGCCGGCGCCGCCGCCTCCGCTGGCTTCTCCTCCTCCTTCTTCTCCTCCACCACCTCCGTCGACGGCGCCGCCGCCTCCGCGGCGGCGGCGGCGGGCTCGGCGGGGGCCGCCTCCTCCTCCTTCTTCTCCTCCTCCACGGCGACTTCCCGGGAGGTGGTCTCCGCCGCCGCCTCCGCCTCCGGCTCGGGCTTGGGCTCCTCCTTGGGAACGAAAGGCGCGACCTTCTCCAGGATGAAGGCGATCGCCGGGGAGAGCGGCGTCGTGCCGGACTTGGCCACCGCGTCGCTCACCGGCTTGGCTCCGGGGAAATCTGAAAAAAAAAAAGAGGATTGCATTAGTTTCATTGTAAAAATATTAATGGAAATTTAAAATATCTTTTATTGTTTGCATAAAAATTATATAATTTTTAGGACTACCTAACGAGCAAATATGTCTATTCAGGAACAGACATGTTCAAATATTTTCAGATATATAAAAAATTGATTTTACCGATATTTCTTAATGTAAAATTTAATACCTTTCTATACCTCCAGTATTAGGAGGTACCAAAACTTGTATTAAAAATATTGATGCCTCCCAATACCTCTTAAGACTATAAAATTAATCCACTATAAAAGGATTGGTTTTTATATATGATTGGAAAAATAAGTGGCTGAAGTTTAATAAAAAAAAACTGTGTTAGTTTCGTTTGTTTTTTGTTCGACTGGTTTGGCCTCTTGTCTGCGTCAGCTAAAGAAACGGAGTTTGCATGTGAGATTCTGTTCAAGGAAACATGGTAGACGAGAAGATTCCTCTGAAGTTCAATTTTCTAGCAAGAGGGAATAAAGTCTAGATTGTTGCTCAGAGGGCAAATAGTATAGGTCTCTATCGAATAAAAACATAAGAAAATGAATAAACATGATTGCTAAAAGAAACTACGGATTCTACTATTTTTTAAGGGAAAAAAAGGTGATTCATAAATGACACCTAAATTATTTTTTAAAAAAATAACTCATTTTTTATGTTACGATTCATTTTGGAAATAAGTGATAAAGGTTCTTTATTTTCATTAAAAATGCATTTTTGAACGAAAATATAAAAAAAGGGGACAAGTTACATATTGTGATTATTCTAGTCAATACCCCATGCAATCAAATACAAGCCAATTAGAACTTAGCCAATTCTTACCAATCTTAGCCAATTCCTCAAGGAACTTAGTGACTGCAGGACCGTTCTTCTTGATTTTGCTGGCTGTTTTTTTGTCCTTCAACAAAGCCTGCAATATTTTTACAGATAAGCATGCAAATTATTATTTCTTGAGCAAGGATGTCCTCAAGCAACCTATGAAACACCTGAAAAATTATTACCTTAATCTCAGGAGGAGATGACTCAACAACCTCCACAACCTTGGGCTCTAGCTCTGTCTTCTTGTCATCAATCTCCTTGCCAATCTCCTCCTACACAAATACATATGACACCCAATCAATAAAAAAAATTGTGAAAATAAACACAAACTATACTTACAACTTTCAAGTGTCTCTGTGTATGAATTCGTAGCTACCTTGTTGAATGATTTCAAGAACTCAGCAGCAGCAGCCTTCTTTCCATCCTTGTCAAAGAGCTTGTTGAGTCCAGTGAGAACCTTGGTCTTCCAGACACTTGTCATTTCTCTCCTTCAAGAAATTAATCTCTAGTACTCCAACTGTCCAACAGCAATAAAAAATCCATAACAAAAACCCCTTCTTAAAAAAAGTACAGAACAAAAATCCATAGGATATTTCATATATATCATGAAACTAAACATGCATGCATGAAACCATGGAAATGATCAAAGTAAGCTAGAGAAGAAGAAGCTTACATGAAGCAAGGAGGAGAAAGAGAAAGAAGAGAGAGATGCCTATTGCTTGTGTGATGTGTTGTGTAGCTTGTGATCACCAGCAGCCTATCAATGGGCAGAGTAGTACAGGAGCCACCTTGCCATGAGAGTGATATATAATGGGCTGGCCAGAAAGCCACCCTGAACTTGGGAGAGATTTACATGTCTACCCCTGCAGATGACACCATGGTTGCAGTGAGGTGGCAGGGGCATAAGTGTCAAAATGGAGAAGATTATGGAAGGGGTGTCATTAAGCCACGGATGACATGATGGTGGGTCGTGGAGGCTTGCAAGCTGCGCTGGAGGGGAGAGAAAGAGGAAGAGTATTTTTGCTAGGATCCTCTGTGTTACTATGACTCTGTGGTCTTTATCAACTGAATGGATGCCAATAAAATTACAAAGAGGATGTTCGGCTATGCTACATTGCAATTGTACAGCCGTAGCTGCAGCTGCCACCATAGATCCTCTTGTTTTTACTGTAGCTGTAGGTTGTAAATTAATCACATCTAACATTATCGAACACCCCTTTAATTTAAGTAATTTATTTGCAAAAAAAAAGACATAAGGAAAAATTAGCAAAAATATAGGGCTAGCCGGCTAGTGCAGCCGCCCTATTATTGCTAGAAGAAATTTGGCTTGGCTTAGCTATTGGTATTGCCCATAGCTAGCACAACCAAGCGAGTTCATAGATTATGCTTAACTGTTATTTTATAAAATCGAAAAGTCCAATTTAGATATTAATAAACTATATGTGATATGGTTATGCAATTTAATGAGTTATTTATTGTTCCTTGTTTTCCTAGAAGATCACATAGTTGTCTAATATATTTTTTCCTTTTTAGCACTAGAATAACTATTCTGGGATAGTGTTAGCTTTAATTTTGACATTCGTTGATAACGAGTTCACATCAAACTGGTAACTTTCCTGGAAGAAGTTAGAATGATATAAAAAGGACAATATCCCTCTCCTAGATAACTTTCACCTTTTTTAAAGAATAGTGTTTACTCAATGACAGTTGGTGGTCAAACTTCATTGTAACACTACCACCTTGTCTATATAGCAAATTAATTCAACTAAATATCAATTGATTTTTTTTGCTAAATAGCATTAACTAATATATCACTATCCGAATTGTTCTAGATTTCTTTATATAGATCGAGAAAAAATACGTGCGATCACATCACGAGTACAATATGTTAACACGCCATTTAAAATTTCACCTTTGTCATCGGCTATAACTACCTACACATTAACACACACCCTTGCCCCCACAGAAGATCAGGGACAGCCAGATAGATAATCCTAACACTGTCCATGACACTGGCATTCCTGCGTGTGGCCCCACACCTGCTCGACGGTGGGGCCCACACCTTCCGAGAGAGAAGTAGCGTGAGCACCTCGAAGAAGCAACCACACCCAAGCCAATCACAGCGCCTCATCCTGGCCAAGAAGCCAAGAGAGTACTCGCAATCACAAAAAGAAATTGGATTAATCAGAAGTTTAATGGAACAATGCCCCAGCTAACCTGCCATAGTGCCACCTAATGGTCTCAGGTTGGACAAAATCCAGCAGCCATGCTGGTATTATTGTTTAGTTAACTTGCATCATTATATTATTATTTGCTATAGTAGAATACTCTTGTGATCTTCTCCAAGATTTTTATTGCTAGAGTTTTAAGGAGAGGAGAGGAGAGGAGGGAGAATACACAAATAGGGTGTTGTACTCCAATGTGCTGGCATGAATGGTACATCTACCAGCATGACAGCTCCTCTCCTTCCCAAGTGACCGTATGCATTGCCACATCGAATGTACGCCATGTATGTCTACATTAAGGGAGAAGTCTTGTTGTGTTCTCTTGTACTCCTAAGTGATTCTTGCAAACTATAGCAATGTGTTGCAAATTATAGCAAAGTATTTCTTAAGTGATTCTCGCAAATTATGGTAAATGGTGAGAACTTCCACACTCGTCAATAAGAAGAAGAAGAAGAAGTAGAAGAAGCATGCGTGTCTAGAGTGATCTTTTGGGGATGTAAGAATTTCTTTTATGAATTTTATAAGCACGAATAAAATGTTTTATACAGAATTCACAAGACTCAAAATTTTTAAAACCAATGTTTGTTGTATTTTGAATGACAAACTGCCGAGTTAGTCTAATAATACTGATAACTACCATGAAAAGAAATGAAAGAAAACAAAACAAAAACGTAGGCCATTCTCTATTGTCCTAAATAATTTTAAAATTCGTATCCACTTGTCACATGACAGCCCTCATTTGCTGTCACCTGTTTATGAGCCAGGTAACGAGACCAGCTAACTGATGCATATACCTCAATCAACACACCAATTCTTAGCTCGAAAATTATTTTTTTAAGCATTTTTTAGTTCTAGTCAGCAAGCTATGCTTGAGTGTGTGCAGCACACAAGCAACAATGGTGGTGTACTTCTACTCTGTTTCCTGCACACAAATTAATTAGGTCAGAAATGGCTTCCTGAAAAAGATAACCAGGGAGCCCCAGGAATCAAATTTTCCAGGTCAAGTTACTTGTGATAACTGAACACTCAACTGATGAGCTAAGATTTAGTTTGTTTAATACCAACTGAATAAAACTTTCCTTGCAAATGCTGTTTGTGTCACTACAATCAAATCAGGTTATTATTCAGGATAACCAACCATCCATCCAAATAGTAAGTTTTTTTGTTGCTTTCTTGAGGACAGAAATTGCAATTTCCTCATAATTAAAAGAGAAATTGCAGGGATTTTTCGTGAGGAGAAATATTAAGGTCCTTCCTCTTTGTGCCAGCGCATTTGCCATGGCAATGGGACATGCAAATGGCATTTGCCAAGAAAACACTTATTCACACCCTAAAATTCTTGGCAATAGAATATCAATCATATGTAATCATCTGCCCCCACAAAAAAAATGCATTGTACATGTATTCCTAATTGTACAACTATTTATTCTGGAACACTTGATATTAATTATTCAAGCCACCCGATTTAGGAGCACCATCTTACAATGATTGAAGATACATTTGTAATCATATTTCCTTTGTACGTATGAAGTGATCACAGTGATCTAGGAATCATGCAATCACAATTTCTTACAAATATTTCACAACATAAAGAATAGTGTTAGTTGCTTTTACACTAATAAAATTCTTATAAACAGTGACACCCCCTGAGCATCTATGTCCAACTACTTCTGCTAAAACACAAAAGTTTAGTAGGCTAGCTATTGTTTTCCAACGAATATACAAAATACATGCAAATATTCTCTTAGGTAAGCAGTGAAGTACACGCATATATACACAATGACCCTTAACCACAGATCATGAAAAATACAGGAACTAATAAATACATGAACCAATCATGCTTATGAACCCATCAAGGCTCAAATTAATTCAAATCAATCATGCAAGTTCAAAATATTGCTGTGGTGAACATGCAACGCAATCTTCTCGAACCCTCCAGGCCAATTAGTTAGCTGCCATAATAACAACTGGAAGAGAGGCGATATATACCTGTCGTTGCTAACCGTGCTTTGCTAAAGGCACAGTTGGCACGATCTCTGTAGATTACATTTTTTTTCCCTATGATTAATTAGTTCTAAGTACAATATGATTGTGCTACACGTAGGTATGCACGTCTAAACAGCTGTGCTTAGCTTCCAGTATGGAAATAGCTTGAGCATGACTTCTTCAAGAAGGTTGCATTGACAGGGACATTGACATAATATTTTCACATTCTTAAATGCATTTGCCTATAAAAACATATTTTTTTCTTGGCAAAGATATGTCCAGATACAATGATCTACTAAGCTTCTCGCTGAATCACCATGTTCAAGTCGATCACATCAGCTGCATGCAGTATCTGTCAACAGAAGAACAGAACAAGTTGAAAAAAGAAAAAGTAAAGCCGATATGTGTAGAAGATGAGAAGCAATTCGTCCAAATATTCCTTTTGACTAAAAACATCAAGAACGCTAGCACTTGATAGCAAGGACATGATCAATAACTTATTCAGAATGAGCACTATTAAAAAATGTGGTGCTCTTATTGGGAATTTCACAAGAGCAACACGAACAGAGACTCCCTCATACATCAACCTGGGAGACGCCCAGGTCAGATTGGCAGCTAATATTTCCAAGAATCATGCCATTACAAACAAGATGTACAATGTACTGAAAACCATAGATCTACTAGGTACAGGTAAAAGAACAGGAGGAGAAAGAAGAAAGAACATCAGTACCATAAAAGTTACCACACACAGCTGCAGCATCGATCTTAGAATCTACACTCGGCCAAACCACCTGAAAGAACAGGGGGGCAATCAGCATGCCTCTGGAGGAAGAATTCAGTCAGCAACTGTAACTAATCCTGTTTTTTTTTCTAATTCAGCACGTCGCATCGCGAAAGAATTCGGATGGAACTGAGGGCGGGCAGTGCTTCTTCGCCACAAATTTGTACTGCAGAAACAAAGGTAACAAAGGTATAGGAGATCAGCATTAGCAACAGTACAGATAACTGAAGAAATGGGGAGGATATGCCGTTTATACCTTATGTTGGGTATACTTCTCCCTGATTGCAGGAAGGTTACTCCCGGGACCAACGCTAAAAAGGCGGTGCAATGCCTTTACACAGTCGCTTAACTCTGACGACTTGTATTGTGTGTAGTGAGCAAGGGTGGAATTCTGCTTCAAATTTACAATGAGAAGCATATGTTAGCTCTTGTAATTTTTTTATTTGAATGCTGATATAAAAGATGTATGGAAAGTTCAATACGATGATGCCACCACTTACCCAAGGGTGCTTTGTTGGCTGCAGTATGAATTTGGCCAAGAAAATAGCCGATGCCGCTACTAGTGAAGGAGGGTAAGAAAGTAGATTGTACTCCAGCAGTGATAGCTCAGCAACATAATTGGCTAGGAACTCAAGATGCAATGCTGGATCCTGCACGATGAAAAGCTGTTAATGCAATGCACCATATAACTATTATGGAATTGCAGCAAGCAGGAGATGATTAAGAGAGCAGCACCTCATCCGATACTTGTGCAACACGGACAAATCTCCTGTTGTAGGCAATAAGAGAGTTATTAGAGTTCGATTCATTCCAGCACTATAGACATCGATGAGATGAAAGAGAATAGAACCTCAAAAAGCATTTTGCTGTAGGTGCAGTCACTTCAAACTTCAGGTAATTCAGGACAGAAGCTTCCATTTCCAAAACCTGATAATCTATGTGTTAGTCATGGACATAAACACAGCAATGTTAACAGATATGCAAAACAAACCTCATCTCTGAAGTATGTGTTGTCAGTTATATAGCAGAATTCTTCTACTTGAGGTGCACATATCTCCTCGTATTTTCTGATATAGGAACAAGCCAAAATCAGTACACAAAACTCAGATGCAAACTGAGAAACACATTTAAAAAAATTGCTAGTCAGATCTTACGCAGCAATAAGCATACAAGCAACTCCAAGTAATTGCAGTCTTTGACGATTGATCTCATTGCCAGAAAGATAACGATCAATGTAGTTAACTGTCAGGTATAATGTATCAGGAACAAGACGATATTCTTCAGCGACCTGCACAAAGGAAAAGCACAAATACAGTGGTAAGTAACGAGTGTGGTCTTTAGGCTCCAATCAACTAAAAAAATGTTTGGTATAAAAGCTTACTTCCACAAGCCAGTCTATCAGGATCGCTCTCATGCTTGGGTTTACATCCTTTTGGATTGTTTCCATAAAATCAGTTGATGGACGTTTCCTGGTCTGCTTCAAGTCAAATAGAAAATCACAATGTAAATATGAAATTCAACCTAGATTTGAAACCACTGTGCTCAGGCCAGATTAATTATCATTTGGTCAAACTGACTGCAGTAGTGCAGTCCATGTCACAGAAAAAATAATGAGTAACTGAAAATACTTCAAGAGCATTAATTGTGACAATTGAAGTCATGTATCAATTCGTCGGTTCAGTCAATGCTTTAAGTGGATTACTCCATTACAATTTCTCCATATTATACTGTCAAGGTCAGGATCACCTATTTGAGGAAGCGACGCGGCAAAGGACGAGGCAAAGCAAGCGAGGAAGCGACCAGCTGATGTCGTGCCGGATGAGGAACAGTACCACGCAAATTGCTAGCAATTAGTTCGAGTTTGTTAAAAAGTCAGTTTGGATGTAAGGCTATTTAGAGCCACGAATCTATAGTTAAAGGCAAGCAAGATTGAATCTATACTTCTCATCTCCACTTCTCTATCTCATCCCCTGTTTCTCCTAAATTGCCACCACTGGCAGGGCGTCGAAGAGGCTACCGAAGCCTCGACCTCCTGTGTCCCATTCATACCCACTTCGTTCGCTTGCTGGTGCTCGTAACAACTTGGTATCATAGACCATGGTTCTTGAGGAAACTTCTTCCTCCAAGCAGCCATCCCCTAGTGCTGATGCACTGGCCAAGCTCTAGGAGTCCATGGCGGATGTGTTGAGCAGCATTTCGCTATTGGCTTCCAAAAGCGACCTCGCCGACCTCAGTCGTTCCGTCGCGTGGCCACTTCGCACATCACGGCCCTCGAGCAGTCCTCCACCACCTTGTCCGCGCCTCGCCTGGGCGGCAGCGGCATCTTGCCTGCCGCCACCACCACCACCTCCGCCGTCGACTGGAACCGGCTCGGTGCACGACACCAATTCCGGTGGCGCCGTTCCTCCTTTTCACAAATTGGAGTTTCCCAAGTTTGATCGCACCGATGATCCGCTCAATTGGATTAATCATTGTGAGCAGTTCTTTTGAAGGCAACATACGCCGGACACGGATCGTGTCTGGATGGCCACATACCATCTCACTTGAGCTGCACAGGAATGGTACTTCCATTATGAGCAGCACATGGGTCCTCCGGATTGGGATACGTTCAAGCAGCTCTGTTACGGTCAGTATGGACCGCCGATCCGCAACAATTCCCTGGGTGAACTCAAGCATCTCACTCAGGTTGGCACGGTGACGACGTACCAGCAGCGCCTTTTGGCGTTGGGTAGCCGCACGTCCGACCTCCTCACCGACCGCCAACAAGTTCAGCTCTTCACAGCGGGGCTCACCGACGACATCTGCATCGATGTCGAGCTCCAACAGCCCGAGGATTTCCAGGAGGCCATGGCCTTGGCTCGTGCCTACGAACGGAAGGGCCAGCAAAACGCGTCGCGCGCTCCTGCCCCGGCGTCAACTCCGATGACTGGCGCAACCTCATCACCAACCACGGCGGCTGACACACCAGGACACCAATTTCGTTGTCTCTCGCCAGCAGAGTTACCAGAGCGCTGTAAACAAGGCCTCTGTTATAAATGTGACGAGAAGTTCATTAGGTCACAAGTGCACTCGCCTGATCTACCTTGAGTACGACGACACCACGGCTAATTTCAGCGAATGGGACGACACAGACGACACCGATGAACCACACATCTCGCTCAACGCGATTTTCGGTGTCAATGGCACTAGCACGATGTGCCTCGTGGCGCGTATCGCGGCCGAGCAGGTGATGGCCCTTGTTGACTCCGGCTTCAACACACAATTTCATCACCACCAAGCTGGCCCAGCGCATCGGCCTACCTCTCCAACCGGTACGCCAAGGTCTCCGCGTGGTGGTGGCTGACAACGATCGCATCCGCGGCGCGGGTGTCGTGCACGGGCTTCGCCTGTAGGTGGCCACCGAGGTGTTCGACGTCGACTGCTTCGCCCTCGACCTCAGCTGCGTCGACATCATCTTGGGCACTCAGTGGCTACGAATATTGGGACCAATCCTGTGGGACTTCGTCAACATGCGCATGGCGATCTGGTGCGGTTGCCGGGTCACACTCTATGGTATCCTCGACAACCGATTCACATCCACCTGCGCTGCACTGCACGCCGACGATCTCCTTCCGTCCTTGCTGGCGGAATTTGACGACCTCTTCGCGCTCCAACCGGCCTCCCACCGACCCGATCCATCAATCATCACATCCACCTCAAGCCCGGCAAGCCCCCGGTAGTGGTTCGACCGTATCGCTACCCACAGCTTCAAAACGACGAATTGGAGAAATAATGCGCTGACAAGCTCTCCATCTGCCCCAACACGTCGCCATTCTCGTCGTCGGTTCTGTTGGTCCACAAGCCATGGCGCTTCTACGTGGACTACCGAGCCCTCAACACGGTGACTGCCAAGGACATGTTTCCCATTTTGGTTCTCGACGAATTGCTTGATGAACTTTGCGACGCCCACTTCTTCTCCAAGCTGGATCTCCATTTCGGGTACCATCAGGTTCGCATGCACCCGGACGATGTCAACAAGACGGCATTCCGCACACACCAAGGCCATTTCAAGTTCTTGTTCATGCCATTCGGCTTGACGAACGCGCCGGCGACATTCCAGGCGCTGATGAACATGGTACTCGCCCCATTCTTACGCCGGTTCGTCCTGGTGTTCTTCAACGACATACTGATCTACAGCGGGACATGGGCCAACACCTTCAGCACATTCGGGCAGTGCTCAGCGTCGTTCGCGCCAATCATCTCATCCTGAAGCGCTCCAAGTGCCACTTCGGCGAACAGCAGATCAACTACCTCGGCCATGTGGTGTTCGCAAACAGGGTGGCCATGGATGTGCAGAAGGTGTGCGCAATGGCATACTGGTCGCAACCCTCTCCGTGGGAGCCGTCCGCAGCTTCCTCAGCCTGGCTGGATACTACCGTAAGTTCATTCGCAACTACGGTGCGATCGCAGCACCATTGACGGCTATCCTTAAGCGCGAAGCATTCCACTTAGGGATGAAAACAGTCGGAAACGATCGGAAAATAGCCTCAACCATTTCTGTAACCATATTTTTCTCGGAAACGATATCGGAAATATCGAAAAACCGGAAACGGAACAATACGGACGGAAACATATCGGTACAGATCGGAAGTCGGTAACAAATACGGAAATATTAAACTATAAAAATATATATTTAACTTTACATAAGTATGTTATATGTATACATAAGTATAGACATGCCCTATAAATATCGATATATTTAGAATACGGTAATTACCACATTATAAGAAACGGTAATTTCCACGAGAATACGATAAATACGGAAACGATCGGTATAACAGCAAAACCATTTCCGTTTTCATTTCCATATTTTTTGCCATTTCCATTTTTGTTTCGGTCGATTACCATTTCCATATGGCTCGGCCGGTAGAAAGTCGAAAATGAACGTCGGTCGGCCGGTAATTACCGTTACCGTTTTCACCCCTAATTCCATTGGACGCCAGACGCAGCACAAGCCTTCACCGAGCTCAAGCATGCCCTGTGGATGGGTCCCGTGCTGCAACTACCCGACTTCATCATGTCGTTTGTCGTCAAAGACGATGCGTCGGGGTCCAACATTAGAGTCGTTCTACACCAAGGGACGGGCCCACTAGCCTTCTTCAGCCGGGCAGTAGCACCACGCCATGCCGGGCTCGCCGCCTACGAGCAGGAGTTGATCAGCCTTGTCCAAGCCATCCGCCATTGGCGCGCATACCTCTGGGAACGGGCGTTCCTCGTCCGCCCCGACCACTACAGCCTGAAGTTTCTCTTGGATCAACGCCTTTCCACAATCTCGCAACATCGGTGGTGGTAAGCAAGCTCATTGGTTTTGACTTTACTATAGAATATCGACCGGGTCGCACGAACGTCGTGGCGGACGCCCTGACCCACCGCACGAAGGACGCCGAGCTCATCGCCTTGGCAATCTCCGAGCTGACGTTCATGGCATTTGACAACCTCCGGAGCGAGTAGGGATGGCAATTTGGGAGGGGAGGGAACGGGGGACATATTTCACCCGCGGGTGACCTCTCCTCTCCCGTACGCGCACCCACATCACATAGGCGGAGGCAGCGGAGCACAGGGCAGCAGGGGCGGCGCACTGCGCACCGGCACCATGCACCCCTCGCCGTCCGCTCCCTCTCCCCTCCCCTCCTCTCTCTTCCAGCCTCCCAAGTCCCACGAATCGGCACCACGCACTCCTTTGGTCTCGTCGTCCCGGTCGCCCTCTCCCTCTCCCCTGCGGCCTCTCGACTACCTAATGCGGGGCCCTAGTCGGGTTGCGGGGCCCTAGAGGGGTCGGGGACGGGGCCTGATTTGGCCCACATCTCCAGTCGGGGCCAGGGGCGGGGGATGTAGTCAGGGGTCGGGGGCGAGGCCGTTTCAGCCCAACTCGGCCCCGCCCCGTTGCCATCCCTAGGCGTGAGGTGACCACGAACGAGGACCTAGCCAAGATCGCCGCTGACATTTCCAGTGGCACGCTGGGTTGGTTGGGCTAGCCATGGGCTTTCCGTGGCGGCCTTATCCTTCGCAATGACCGTGTCCGTGCCGACGTCTTCCCCGACACTGCCCGCGCTGCTCGACCACGCCCACACCGGCCACGAAGGCGTCGAGCGCACACTTCACAGGCTGTGCACGGACTTCTTCACGCCCCATGCCAAGCAAGTCGTCCAAGAATTCATGAGCACATGTTCAACCTACCAACGCAACAAGACCGAACACCTTCATCCGGCGGGCCTGCTTCAGTCGCTGTCGGTGCCCACGCAAGTCTGGGAGGACATCGCCATGGACTTCATCAAAGGACTTCCCCGCGTGCACGGCAAGACAACCATCTTCACTGTGGTTGACCGCCTCTCCAAGTACGCCCACTTCATTCTGCTCGGCCACCCCTACACGGTGACGATAGTGGCGCGTGTGTTCTTCAACAAGGTGGTCCGCCTCCACGCCATAGTTATTAAAACCGGACCGGAGAATGAACCGGTCAAGCTCTCGGTTCACTGGTCTAGCGGTTCAACCACTGGTTAGGCCGATCCAACCACGATTCGATGTATTATAGGATGCAAATGTCTTAGACCAACAAAAGTGAACAGATGGTGTGGTGGCTAGCGCGTGCAGCGCTCAACCACATGACCCAAGGTCAAATCTCCCCACACCAACGTCCTTTTCCACCGATTTTTGGCTGAGTTTGCTCAGCGGGCCTCACGTCAGCCCATCACCAAAAGACAGCCCGGTCTGACCACTCCGGTTTAAAGCCCGGTTTACATAAAAATTGACCGGTTCAAACGGTTTTCTCCGGTTCAATTACACATCCGATCTTTTAAGGGGACCAGACCGGCCGAGGCCCTAGTTCCGGTTTTTCCCGGTCGGACCGTCGGTCCAGTCCGGTCCTAATAACTATGCTCCATGCATCCCAAGCTCCATTGTCAGCGATTGCCGATCGGGACCCTGTTCACCAGCACGTTCTGAACCGAACTATTACACCTGGCCGACATCAAGCTCAACCTGAGTTCAGCTTTTCATCCACAGTGCGACGGCCAGTCCAAGGCAGCCAACCGAGTCATTAGCATGTACCTCAGGTGCCTGACCGGAGACCATCCTCGTCACTGGCTGTGATGGCTTCCGTGGGCAGAATACTGCTTCAACACGGTGTTCCAGAGCTCGCTGCGCACGACGCCATTCCAGGTCTGTGTGTATGATCACGGCACAGCACGTGTGCGCGCTGTCAATCAAGCCCTCGTCGAGCGGGACGAATTCCTTGAGGAAATCCGGGAACACCTCCTCCAAGCACAGGATTATTGGAAGCTCTACTACGAAGAGAAGCATTGTGATGTCACCTTCTAGGTCTGTGACTGGGTCTAGGTGCGTCTACTCCATCACCAAGCAGCATCCCTTCCCGGCTTCTGTCCATAGTGGAAAAAACCAGACCGGGCCGGTGGTTCAACCAGGAAAAACCGTTACCAGAGGTCTTTCTGGTTCGGTTAAAAAAAAGTCAGGACATGCATGTGACCCGCTTTGAACCGGCTGAATCGGACGGTTTTTCTATGAACCGGCCATTAAACCATCACCGGGCAGACTCTCAAGGCCCATTTAGCCTGCAAAGAGCGTTTTGGTTGGCAAAAATCAAAGGCCCATTTAGCCTGCAAAGAGCGTTTTGGTTGGCAAAAATCAGAGGAAATATGCACCTGTGGGGGTTCGACCTCTGGTCTTTAGGATAGAAGCAAGCGGCGTAGACCACCGAGCCATCCAAGCAGTTGTGATTTAGCAATTACATACGTTACACATATATGTATTAAATCGCGGTTTGACCGTCCGGTTCACGGTTGGACCGGCGAACCCAAAGGTCGACCGGGTCACCCACCGGTCCGGTTTTTCCTACTATGCTTTTGTCGCAACAAGTTGGCACCATGCTACTACGGTCCCTACCAAGTCGTCACTCGCGTGGGCGATGTGGCATGTCGCCTCAAGTTGCCGGCCGGTGCCAAGATACATGATGTATTCCACGTTGAACTCCTCAAGGTGTTCAAGGACACACCGCTAGACCAGCTGCCTGCGTTGTCGGCGCTCTCGAACGAAAGAGTGCTCCCGCTTCCAGCTACGGCTGTTCATGGTCAATTGACGCGCCGGAGTATGCCATGTGCTCATCCAATGGGCCGGCAAACCGGCTGTCGATGCAACGTGGGAAGACGAAGATGAGTTTTGTCGCACCTATCCTACGTTCCAGCTTGAGGACGAGCTGTTTGCGAAGGAGGGGAGACATGTCATGGTCGGCATCACGTATTCGAGGAAGCGACACGACAAAGAAAGTGAGGAAGCGACCGACTGATGTCGTGCCGGATGAGGAACAGTACCACGCAAATTGCTAGCGATTAGTTCGAGTGTTATCCCTTTTTATTAACAGAGTTAGTTTGGATGTAAGGCTATTTAGAACCACGAATTTATGGTTAAAGGCAAGCAAGATTCAATCTATACTTCTCATCTCCACTTTTCTATCTCATCCCCCGTTTCTCCTGAATGGCCACCACGGGTAGGGCGTCGAAGAGGCTACCGAATCCTCGACCTCCTGTGTCCCACTCATACCTAATTTGTTCGCTCACCGGTGCTCATAACATATGATGTGCTTCTACTGGTTCTATAAGGAATTTCAATATGAAGGTCATTAAATGGAACCCACTATTCAGGGAAAAAAAAGTATTCAAGAATGTTTTATGTAAGGTGTTTACATAATATGCAGATCAACACTACGGAAAATTGAAGGTCGCAAAGCATGTCTGGTATTTGATGATAAGGTGCACCAACATAGTGAAATGCAGAAAAGAACGGATTGTGGTGAAATGTGAAAAATATCCTCATAAATTACATTGAAATAATGCCTTATATCCGTTATAACCACTGGAACAGGAATGTGCACTTATTCTCTTCTTAATTTATGGTCTCATCAAAGTAAACTTTTTTTACTTGTGTTTCATATGGATGCAATCAAGTCTCAAGTCTGAAAACATACTACAATGAAAAACAATTCTTTACAGTGCTCAAGGGAAATGTTTTCAGAGAAATAAGGTGTAGACAAGAATGTATTACCTCGGCCTCGCGCAAGTGCATGTAGATATCAGAAGCAAGAGTAGCACACAACTGCGGATCCTCGTAGTTATTGTCAACATCACAAATTTGGTCGATTTCCATTGGGGAAGGAGCATCCTTATTCCACTTAGTTTCTGCGAAAGAAACAAGGGATAAGATCAATCAACCATTCTAACAGAATGCACCATAACTGCGCATTTCAGCAACCAAAACACACCTTCAACATCTCTATCCTCTGAGATACGCAGGTTCTCGTTTGCTCTTCGCTGCAAGGAACCTAGAACTGAGGAGGAATCCCCATTATCAATGTACTCAAAGTCTGGGCTTTTCATTGAGTCACACATCGACATCGTCTCGTCAACCGAAACTGAATCTCCTGAATGCATAGGGGAGACGAAGCTGCTGCAGGGTACAGTGACAGGTGCGGGTGCAGCAGTCGGAACAATGCTAAGCACTTTAGGAGGAATAACTGACTCCTTCTGTGGGGCGCTCTCATGGCGGGATATGGCCGGAGCTGGCTTGGCGGAAGCCGATTTCACCGCTGAGACCCGATTCGTGCACACATTGCGGCCACTGGCCAAAGATCCCTTCTTCACAGGTGCAGCCCAGGTAGCTGAATTAAATTTCTGCAGGAGGATTGAAGAAAATAAATCAATTTAGAACTTAAATTTCAATCTGTTCATTTGGGATTCCAGACCACAAGCATGAAAAGGAATAAAAATTTAGAAACATTAGCAGCACGCAAGTATCATATTACCAATAGAAGATTCCAAAGCAAGCAAACATACAAGACACTTCACGAATACCAAGAAAGCTTTTATTTTGAACTTTTGAAGGTGCCAATAAACCCTCAAGTGAATTTAGCCTGTTGACCTGAATGCTCCCCAAGAAATCAATCAATCAATTAACCATGAAAAGAAACCAGAAAATCAGCAAGATAAATCTTGTGGATTGGAATAGGAGTATCCTCAAAATCAGCAAGGAAGAATGTGGCAGAGGTCCAAATTTGAATGTGAAGAGCACTGAAAAACCAAAAGGCAAGAATATCTTGGGGATTGGAAGAGGAGAATCGCTTGCAGGCTAAACAAGGAGAAATTGAAGAAATGAAAATCTTGTTGTTGGCTGAAAGAAAGAACTCAAGAAGACGAATTCAAGAAACACTATTTATTTTTGCTTGAAACCAACAGATCGAGGCGTATGTCCTCCACAAACAAGATGGAAAAAAACCAAAAAAAAATCATACACAGATCGCTTCAGCCATTTCCGCATCAAGCAACAGCAACTCACTTGTGCCCCAAGAGGAACCAAGAATCAAGCAACAGCAACTCACTTATGCCCCAAGAGCAACCAAGAAGCAAAAAAAAAAAAAAAAAGCCACCCCCAAACCATTCCAACCACCTCACATACCAAAAGATCTCCACCCAAACAGCGCAAAGCAAAGAACAAATCTTGGAGAGAGAAAAAAAAAGCACAAAAAAAGAAGAAGAAGCAGCAAGCGATCCTTCACGTACCGCATTGTTGGCCGCGGCGGCAACGTTGGTGATGTTGACAAGCGCGACGCGCTTCTTGGCCGCCGCGGCGCCCGCTGCCGCCTTCCCTCCTCCCTCCCCCGCCGCGGGCCGCTTCGCCGCCATCGCCGCCGACGACGACGACGAGCGGCGGGAGGCTAGGCTGCTCGAAATCGGACGACGGACGGCAACCACCACCCGAACCCTCCTCCTCCTGCTGCTGCTGCGAGGGTTGCGAGGGCGGCGGCGGCCGGCGGGGATCAGAGGCGGAGGAGGGCGAGGGCTTGGATCCTTCCCTTCCCGACAGAGGAGGGGAGAGCCGGAGAGGAGAGGACTCAGAGGAGCGGAGGAGGAGAAGAGAAAGAAAATGGCGACGACTCTTTCGATTATTTCCAGTTTTTGGGCCGTTACAGTTGTTCAAATTTCAAATAGTAGTAGCAAGTTGTTTTAGTTATTCGACCGTTTTGTCTGTCTTTCTTTTTTTCATGTCGTCGTGGTTGGGTTATTACGTTTTCGACCGTTATTCATAAACAGAACGGATGTAGAGCTAAATTAATTTCGTGCGTTACTACTTCTGCCGTAGAAGATGACGGATTTTAACTTTGTATTCCCTCCGTCCTTATATTCCTAAAATGTAAGAGCACCTTTGGATCAAAGGATTTATGTGGGAATTTCATAGGATTCAAATCCTATAGGAAATTTTTATATTTGGCCCTTTGATTCAAAGGATTGAAGTTTTCCAAATCCTATGAAATTTCTATGAAATGGCACACATTGCATATGGATTTTTGAGGAAATTTAGCAAGAGCTCCAATCTCTTGGAAAAATTCCTTTGAGTCTATCTCTCTCGTCTGATTCCTGCGTTTCTCCTGCGCTCCAATCAAACGACCATTCCTGTGTTTTTCCTGTGTTTTGCAATCCTCTGTTTTACCCTTCAATTCCTGTCAGAATCCTGTGTTTTTCCTATTCCTCTGTTTTTTTCTACCCTAAGATTCAAAGGGGCCCTAAGTATTTTTTAAGCATAGTGTCAAGTCAAATATTTGTAACTTTAATTATTAATAAGAAAAAAAATAAAAAAGATCAATCATAAAAGAAATTGATGTTACTAGATTTATCATTAAATAAACTATCACAGTATGTAACTCTTTTTATTTAAAATATTTTACTTTTATAAATATCGTTTGTCAAATAAGCATCTTTAGAACCGTGTCGAAGTCTAAAAATACTTATATTTTGATACGGAGGAAATATTCCTCATCGTATTTTCCTACTTATCTCTCTCGTTTTTCACATGTGTGCTTTTGTCAAATGGTTAAACGGTGTGTTTTTTTTTTAAAAAAAATATATGTATGAAAGTTATTTGAAAAATCATGTTAACTCACTTTTTATGAAATAACTAATACTTAATTAATTATGTATTAATGAACCGTTTTGTTTTACGTGCTGGAGGGTTAGTTTCTAACACTAATAATCGAACACGGCCTTTGCTACTTAGAGGAATTTTAATAGTATATAGCTAACTACTAGCTCCAAATCATTTATAGCTAATCTAATAGTAAATTATACAATAGTTAACTACAGATATACACTACATCATTAATTACTGGTCCCACTTGTCATACACACGTAGAGCCCGTTAGAAACTCATGAAAGGGGTGAATTAAATTTTGGATTAAAGTGGCACGCTTTTTAAACTGCTAAACGGTGCGTTTCGTGCGAAAACTTTCTATATGAAAGTTGTTCTAAAATAACATATTAATCCACTTTTCAAGTTTGTAATAATTAAAACTCAATTAGTCACACGTTATTACCACCTCGTTTTACGTGAAACACTTAATCTTCATCTTTATCTTTATCTTCAGGAGATTCAAACACCACCGTAGCGTTTAGGAGTCCGTGCTGCAGCTGGTTACAAATCTGTAGCCCGCTTCTATTCTATCTCCTCTCTTATCTTCACCACATAAGCTTGTAGCTGACTTATAGTCTATTATTGTACCTGCCATTAGAGTTTTATATTTGAACTTGGAATGTAGTATCCAAAATAACTTTGGGGGTGTTTAGATCCAAGAGTGTAAAATTATTGCGTGTTATATCGGGTATTATATAGGGTGTCGCATGGGGTGTTCGGGCACTAATAATAAAACTAATTGCAGTATCCGTCAGTAAACCGCGAGACTAATTTATTAAACTTAATTAATCCATCATTAGCAAATGTTTACTGTAGCACCACATTGTCAAATCATGGAGCAATTAGGTTTAAAAGATTCGTCTCACAAATTATTCGTAATCTGTACAATTAGTTATTTTTAGCTTATATTTAATACTTCAAACGTTTGATGTGAAAGGGTGTAACATTTTTGTGTGGGAAACCGGACCTTTGTTTTTAAGACCGGATGGAGCACTTTGATAGGAGGTTTGGGAGTTTGGAACTTGTGCAAAACGGTGTGTTTTAAAAATTAAAACCATTGCTCTCGTACATACCAGATATTTATAACTAAAGGTCGAGAAGTTCAAAATGTGTCCAAAGGTCGAGAAGTTTAAAATGTATCCAAATCAACATATTTTCAATATTTGAGGGAGTAACATGATATAAGACCATATATTTATAACTAATGGCCGATAAATTTAAAATGTGTCCAACGGTCGAAAAGTGTAAAACAGGTCCGAACCTAGTGTTTCAGGATATCTACAACGAATGCTTGGGTCGGGACGTAAGGTTAAACCTTTCTTAGTTGTGCCAAAGGAAATTATGCGAATTTTTAACACGGCTATAATGGCACAATATTGCCAATGAAAAATACCCTTATAAACACAATTTTGCTTGGCTTGTTGGGATTGATAAAAAAAAAACCAGTAAACTTATCCTGGTAGGAGCTTCCGCTATATGTTGGGCTCTATGGTTGAATAGAAATGATATGGTTTTTGACAAATCACCATCTATATCTTATATGCAGGTTCTTTTCAGGGCAACACACTAGCTTCGGTCCTGAGCACAACTGCAAAAGTGTGAAGAAGATATCAAGTTAATAAAAGCTACATGTCGTAATCTTGAGTCAACGGTTATGCGGCTTTTTGCCAACTTTGGATGAAGATTCACAAATAGAATTCAATAATTTTGTGATCTTTTCTTGCGTTGGTTTTTAGTACTTGGTGTGTGTTCCTGACCTTTTAGGACCGTGTTTTTATAACTTTTTTGCCATGCGATTTTATTTGTATGAATTGGTGTAATAATTGGTTGTAGCTCATTGACCAAAGGCTGGATTCTATTCCAATATCTAAAAAAAACACAATTTTGCCTAATTGTGTTACCTACTATAGAAAACTTGCGACTGTAGTTTCTCACGAATAACGTTATCGTGCTAGTGGGTGGGCCACCGGTCCATGCAACAGTAGCCGTGCCGGCCCGACACGGCCCAACACCTCCTTGGGCCGTTCTGCCCAAGATCTGGCACCGTACGGCCCATTACAGTTGCCGTGCCATCAGCGGGCCCCTTGCCGTGATGGGCCGGGCCGCCCATTTGGCCTGCTACACATAATGGGTAACATAGTAAATCTGAGCTAAAGGTGGAGTACTCGAGTATCTCTTCCCCCTTCCCTTCGCGTAAAAGAGAAAAAAAAAATCTCCCGTCTCGTCGTCTCCTCCGCTTCTTGCGCCCTTCGCGGCTGAACAGGGGAGGGGAGGGGCGCCGATCTCCATCCGGCGAGCAAGGGATCCTGGTGAGCATCCACATCCTCTTTCTGATGATTAATCTCTCCCTCCCACCGGGAGTGCTTCTGTCTGGAATTTGCTTGCGTAAACCCTAGCTTCTCTTGTAGATCTGGAAGAAGCTCTTCTTTTAATTCCAGAGCCTTAACCTTAATACAAGTAACAGTTTGAGTTTGTTTGTTGTTCCCCCAAAAGTTTGGGGGGTTCAACTGAACCCCCATGTCCCAAGTTGGATCCGCCCCTGTTATTTCATTCATTTCACTAATTTGTTTACATACAGTGGAATAATGTAGTTTTTATTTTTGTTATGCACTCAGAATTCGTAATGTTTAAAATTGCCTGCAAAGGGTTTGCAAATCAAGAAAAAGAAAGGATTGTGCTGATTGCTGTGCCAGGGAGAGAGGTTTCATTCCTTTTTATGTGTTTTGTGTGATATCACTGCCAGGGGATCCACATTTGTTCTGGATTTCGTTTTTGTGTGTTTTTCAAGGAAGTTTCACCATCTATGGTGATAATGTCATTCTGTTATTACAGAGGTCAACGTGTTGTAGATAATAAGTGACATAGGTTGTATCATTTGTTTCTTCTATATGCTCAACAGCTCAAGGTCCTGAACTGTTATGCATGTTTCATTTGTTGCCCCTCGAGTCATTATTTGGCGCGGGATACCTCAGTACTTTGGATCAAATAATCCTGACGGGAAGGAGTATTAGGGTATTCATATTGTACATAGCCAAATGTTCTTTTCCCATTGCAACACATGGGCACCTAACTAGGGTATGGACATTATCTCATGTTTGTGGTCATGATCAAATCGCTCATAAAACATGTGCATCTTAGATTATAGGCAGAAATGTATTCCAATAATGTTATTTGGAGTGAAATTTATCCATCAACAGAAAAAAAAATTGAAACACAAATTTCTGCTAAATACTCTATTAACCTTTTCTGTGTTATACTCATGCGTATGTATGCATTGATTGCTAAACATTTTCACATGTGCATTTGACAGCTTAGGTGTGACTTGCAGCAAACAAGAATCTTTCTCCATTAGAAGGGATCAAACCGATCGAGAAGGATCAAATCAAGAAGAGAAAGGATCCTACCTAGTATCTCGATATTGATTACCTTGGCTAAGAGGACCGATCGGATTATTGGAGAGGAGGGGCTAGTCGTCTCCACAACAGTGAACTGTGTCCGAGCCAAAACAGAACGAACGCCCAAACAGGCAAACCACGAACTCGAACCCTAGAAACCCTAACCATGGACTCGGGAGGCGGAGGAGGGGCATCGCACAAGGCAGCGTCAGGCTCTGCGCCCTCGGGGGCGGCGGCCGCGAACCCCACAGCGATGCTCTCCGCCCTGATGAGCAAGCGCGCCAAGCTCCAGGAGGAGCTCCGCTCCATAGAGCGCCAGGTTAGGTCTTACACACAGTCCCCAATTTATTGTGCAATCTTTCTTAATGCCTTGGGAATGATAGAAATATGAACCTATTTGGAACCAATATGCTGGACCAGTGACCACTGATTGTCATTTCACAGAGAGGATCAATTGTGACGAACAATTTGGATAGAATTAGGAGGAAGGGAAGAAAGTATCAATTTGATATTCTTGTC